TATGATGATTATCCAGGAAACACCTTAATCTCTACTGAAAACAGATAATACATCATCAACAAAAAATATATTTATAGACACATACAGTGGTTATAACACAGAAATTAAGGTGACCAAAATATATTATTATATTATAATAAAAACATACAATGACAACAGACATATACAGACAGTGATTGGAATATATACAGACAGATTCAACGTCACAACACACAATGCACAGGCATCGGAATGTGTGCATGAAATTTTGTCTATATGAAGATTTTTCCTAAGCAAATCCTCGCCCCCCCCCCTCCCCAAACACCAAACAGATAACATTAAGCCTTTCCACCTTGAAAATATTCATCTCTATTGAAAAAAAAAAAAAAATACATCATAAATGAAAAATATATTTATAAACACACACAGTAGTTACAACACAGAAAGAACACAGTGACCAAAAATAGGGAAGTTTGGCGTAGTCAAACGTTTATTTATGGCGACGGTCTGATTCTTCACAAGTTGTTAACATTTTTGCTCTAGCCTCAGATTCGTAAACACATACAGCGACAATAATAACATAGACAATGATCAGAATACATACAGACACATTCAACGTCACAACAGACAATGCACAGGCATCACAATGTATACATGAAATTTTGTATATATCAAGATTTTTTCTGAGCGCATCCTTGACCATCTCCCAACTCCAAACAGTTCACATTAACCCCTGTCACCTATGNAGAGGCGAAATGAGCTAGAATGTCGTCGTAATGAAAATTCTATGTACTGTATATTCCTGGATATTTGAAGTGCTTCTAAAGAAATCTAAGTGCATTCCAAATACATGGGTCCAATCTTGTGTCCGGTTCGAATGTTTTGCTCATATTCAAAATTTTCGACATGCATTCCAAGTGGAGAAATATCAAATGGTATTCTAACTGCACTATGAGTACATTCTTAATATTCTTACGGCATTCCAACAGCATTCGAAACATTCTGATCGCATTCGAGGGAGAACCGAAATTGCAAGACACTTCAAATCCTGCCAGAATGTTCTGCATGCGCTTCAAGTGAGCCAGAATGCATCGAACCGAACTCGAGAGGCATTCGAAGTATATTCTAAATATCCTCACTGCACTTTGACAACATTATCGATATTCCGAATGTGTTCAAACTACATTCGAGCTGCATTTGAGCGCTTATTCACCCAAAATGTGCGCGAATCATTCCAGGCGGATTCGAAGCGCATTCTGAGTATTCCAACAGTAGTCTTACATGAATTTACCGTTTAGGTCAAATTTATATTTCCTCCTGAATGTGGCGCGAATTTTGACAAATTTTTGTTCCGGCTCATTCTGCTTGATTACTGCTGATTCCAAATAAGTGTGACGGGGGCTTTAATTTACATTGAAATAGCTTCAGTATATCTGTCAAGTTACCATGCACAATGGGGTGGGGGGAGGCATTGAAAAAAGATGAGCTTCTAAAGTCCAGCTTGAAATTTTGTTTCTCAAAGACGATTCTAGCAACTACGGAGTACGGACTATACAGACTAGAATGCTCCATGGGGGGTCGTTGGTGGGGTAGGGGTGTTGGAGGGGGTCAGAGATAGGTGGAGAATGCTTGAAGCCACCAGGGTGTCTTGGGTGTCGCTGCACGAGTTTTGATTGAGTTCGGTTATGTTGTATCGTTCTTTCATCACTACCTGTCACATTGTGTGCAACTTTGCGTGAACCAATAAACTCCTCATTGAAACAAATGGCATGGTGTGAATGAAACCGTACATTATACATACATTCTAGCTGTATTACCGTACATTTCAACGATAAGCTGACCAAAATTTTGGGTGGACGTAAAAAGCGCCTTCTAGTGCAATAAGGTATACTTTTCGATAGTGCTTTAATATACAGAGAGCAAGACCTCATAAATTAATCCTACATGAATCTGTGTAACACTCGGCAATACGACACAGAGGTGTCCTTGTGTTAGGTTATTAAGATACACACATGGATTTAGGGACAGTGATTTAATTTATGATACATCAAATAATAAATGCCTCATCTAATAAAAAACGCAGAAAAAGTATATGCTACGAACTTCAACAATTTACAAAGACAATCCTGCCATCAGTATTCCAAAATATTACAAATAAAAATCCTAGAGACAAAGACATGTTTAACAAAGTCACCAGCACGTATCAGTCCATACCTGCATTTAAACTAGCTAATTTTGTTTTACAGTGCATGAAAACAATGACATCAATATATTATAACATCTTCGGTTTTTACCTAGCGGCGAAGTGACGTCTTCCAAAGTCAATAATAATAATAATAATAATAATAATAATAATAATAATGACGCGGTGTGCAAAACCACCCATTTTAGCAGAGGCTGTACACACACTGTCTGTCTTATTATTGCTGCTTCACGTATCTCTGTCGCTTGCAAATCAGTGTTATTCACGCGTGCGTCTTAATAGGTTAGATTCCGTCCCTTTCATTTGGGTTGTTTGTTAAATCAACCATGTCCGTATGATTAACAAGAACCCTTGCAATGGATATCAATGTTCAACGATGCTTCTTTCTCGCAACCAGTGTAGACGTGTACTGGTAGGGGTTTGTTCATTGGCCGTGGCATTGCTAACAATATTTCGGGTGATAATTCCAACCACCACATGTGCAGATGCTTTTGACACATGTTCGCCAAGGCGGTGGGGTCGTTTTGGGATTTGGTATACCCATAAAAAGAGACATAAATAATAAACCCACCTGATTTGTCACGGAAATTGGACTATGTATCCAACCTTTACTCTTAGCCTTCATTTGATTCTATTTTTTTTCGCCCATAACTTCTTACCGCGGTCAGTCGCTGGGTCAAAAAGTTCACCAATAACCGCTTTTACCACAGGTATTTTAAAAGACACCTTTACGGACACGTGCTTGTACATTAAATCTGTCACTAAAATTGATATGGCGAACAGTTTCTAAAAATAGCATCTTACTGCTTCAGTCAACCAAAAGTTTTCAATCTCCAAGGGCCTTAATGTGTCATTTAAAAAGATTTTAAAATCAGATTCCTTGACAATGTGTAATTTGATTATAGGCACAACTTAAAGGGATTTTCCAAACTTTAGTTTTTATAACGTCTAAGGTAAAATGTTGATGTCTGTATCCTGTATGAAATATCACTGGGACATCCACCTGAAGACTTAGTTTCTCCCAGAAACAGTCACTTCTTGGGATACTTATCCTTTAACTGATTTTTAAATACCTTTGAACCATACGACGATTATACTAATCTTTCTGAGATTTTCAACAATATATGCCATTATTTATTTAATCTATCTATAAAAAGATTTAAAACATTTTTTTCATTTCTTTGAGGTATCCATTAAATTCTTTTCTAAAAACTTCACGCTTCACCATTTAAACCGGTAACGTAGGGGCAAATAGATAATTCACGTACGTGCTTTTTAACGGTAATTTCATGAAGTTATCTTTGCTATGAATGCGCCACACTGCCTTTTAACAGGTGCTACCATCACCAGCTACCACAAGGTATGTTTTACCACAGCTTTTTACCATGCTAGTGAGTGTGACTAATCTCTTTTGCCACAGACCGCCGTTTTAATTGGCATTATTTCTGTCTTGATACTAAACTTTTTGGCATTAATTGGCGATTGTCTAAAATCCAGAGGTTGTGGGATTGACATTATATGGTGTATTTATAGACCGGAATTGAAACAAAAAAGTCGCTATGGGATGAGGGGGTACACTTAAAAGGCATGGGATCCCAATTTTACATTTGAAAATCCTTCGGGATACAAGTAACTACAATAAATGAAACAAATTAATTAGTCGTGTAATATGTAACATTACAACACCCACCGTGCCGTTCTACTAACCTTCAAACGTTGAATATACAGGTACATGTATATTTTATTAAAACAGGCAACTGAATTTCTCTTGCATAAAGGTGGCTAAAAACTATGTAATCTCTAGAGAGACTAAATGGCATTAGTCATTTGAGTCAGGATCCAAGGCCCATGATCGCGCGACTGACTCTTCGAGACTGGCTCTGTGAGCTTTGGAAGGTCTTGTGTCATTGTAGGTGGGTGTGGGTGGATTGGGTGAGGGGGGTGCAAGTCCCGTCCTCAGTTCAGACATGGGGATTCATGCCCCCTCTTCATCATGGAGAAACGATTATTTTAATCATAATTATCAATTTTTTCGATTCTAATAACTCGGATGACCTAACATGTCACTAGTTATATGAATCACATTCACTTAATAATAAATAGGAAATTGGAAATCCCGTAGTACTTAAAAAAAAATTAACTTAGCCAGAATTAATGTTCTCACATCAAATTTCAAATTAATTTTAAGGACAATGACATTCAAGTTCGTCACCTTAGGTTATTTAATGGGAGGGGGGATCAATCAAGCTATTTTCTTTTATGTAATTTAAAGAGTCCAAGTTGAGAAATTAAACTTAAATTTGACATTTTATTTAATAAACCAGTAATTGATAAGATGTTTACACGAAATGATAACAGATTGCATTAAGGTTAAACGATATGGAACAACCGGTGCTTGGAATATAAAACCATGGGATACCATTGAATAATTCACCATAAGGACTGTCTCAAGAGACGAAACGAAATTACATATTTAGCAGCGGTTTAAGAAAACACGGGTACCTTTTGATCGTAAATGTAGCATGAGGCGACAAACCACGGGGCACACATATTGTTTGTAATATTGTATAATGCTTCCAAATCCGTAGAGCATGACGCAAATATAGCTAATGCTTTAAGGTATTAGACTCATCAAACATGCCATAGTGCGCGATTCACCTTTCACTGTTTTGTTCCAAATGTAATAAAATTTCATTTCAATAAAATATTTCTTGGCACCTCGTTTAAGGCAAGGTCATAGAATTTACATTACGAGGCATTAAACCACACGGCATCGAAATGCGTTATTAAATAAAGCATTTTTGTGCAAGAAGTCGTGGAATTGGACATCAATTTGCTGGATACGCTGGCGAGTTTAAATACAGAACCCCGTGGTGACTAAGTCTACAAGATATGCTCATCCTTTCCGCCTTCACATTTTTCTCGCGAGGTCCACCCCGGATGTGAAGCCTCGTTGTATAAATAGCCATCACTTAAGAACAGTTAGTATAATTTTGCTGTCTTTGGAGGAAACGCCACCGAAGCAGACAGAACGGACTCCATCTATTTCGAAAATACGTTTATCAAAATTAAGGTAATTTGTCAGTTTTGCGGTATGATTTTAAGGTTAGTTAAAGTTTGCATATTTTAATGACCATAAGTTTAACTAATGGTAAATATTTGCATTCATGGGGAATATATGGTACATGTCAACTATGACATGGTGCTGGAACATTAATTATAAATTTTCTTTCAACATAGCATATGCTTTGTGCTAGAATTTAATATGCACTGATACATTTCATTCAAAATATCTATCTTACCAGAATTTTATTAATACGGCGTCTGATGTTTAATTCCAGGATATATTGGATAAGAAATAACTTTGGAAAGACAAGTAAATATCAAAGAGCAAATATGGCGGCCTGCTTGAGAACTGTGTTTGCGATAGTACTTCTGGCAAAACTAGGAGTTATTGAATCACAGAAGTTGCCCGAAATGTCATCGGCGCTAATGAATCGATTGAAAGGTACGTGCTTTGATGAGTGTATGGTATGGGTGCATTCCAGGCTTCTATCACCAGATATTAACATGAACATAAATTGTTAGAATTTGTTCCAAAAAAAGCCCACTTTCTAAGAGTGAGGGTGATGATGCATCACGTACCTAACACTAACCATTTAGTGTAAAGTTTTTAGATGCTTATTGTTTAATTGTGTGTATGTAAGTGTATCTCAGTTGTTGAGTTTTGAGACTCGATGATGAAATAGTTTATTGAAGTTGACTAATTCCGAACAAAGCTTCACTGAGGCTATAATGGGCGTTTGGTTTAGTGCAGAAAATAAGATAAATCATTTCTGAGGGAAACACACTGGCCACTTTTATAATTGGAAAGGCATTAAATCCATTTACATTAGAAAAATGTCGCTACAAAACGAATTTGACAAGGTGCTACTGCCACCAACTAGCTCAAATCTGTATTAAGTACTTTAAATACTTTCTTCTCTTTTTTGAGTCATATTTTTATACGTTTCCTCCATTTTATGATTTTAGATGCTATATTCAGCAATTTCAACATTTGATTGAATAACAGCACCATTATTTCATACTATATACAAATGTCCTCAATGGCAGAGCGTAAGAGATCAGTAGAATGAGTGCTCATTCTGGGTCACGATCCCTCACATCCCTCCCTCGATTTTAAGTGTAACTTTCCCCATTAAAGGCATTTAATTTCGCGTCAGCGTACATTCAACGCCCATACATTCCCCATTAATTTATAACGGCGTCACGCACCTTGCCCTGCTGGGGGCATGTGTCACAAAAGGACTTTAGCCCGAGAATTGGTATAAGCTTTTCGACTAAAACTGTAGTCAATTTGACCCAAAATAGAGTATTCGTAGTCCAGTTAAACAGATCTGGTTCGTAACAGGAAAAAACATGGCTAATTTGTCTGACCAGTCGGTTATTTATTTAATCCTACTCATATGAGATTATTTTGTATTAAAGTAATCAAAACCCCTGTTCTATCAGCTTTAGCCATTTACTGTATATGACTCTTGCGAAACCATTCCCGTTATTGTGTTGAAATACGTCACGTAAAATGCCTTCTTTGCGCTGAGTGCAAAGTACACATAAAAATGAAAATGAACTAAAAATTGAACTAAATAAAATTACGATTCAATTTGTTTATAAAACATCTCTAGTATCGGTCCAATTTTATTCGTTCATTGAATCCCATAATGCTTCCGTATTAAAGAGGGTCACAGACAATTAAACATAAACAAATACTAGAGAAAAAAATGATAACACCTTATCCTATTATTGCATTATTTATTTATTTATTTATTTATTTATTTATTTATTTATTTATTTTCCTTTTAAGGAAGTCATACACGTTAGCAACCCAGCATTGAAAAAAAAAAAAAAAAAACAGTAACTGTTATCAATGCAGGTGTATGTTCTATAAAAGGTTCTATAAAGAGTCTTGGCCAATTTTATTCCAGCGTGTACGATTAACATGTGTCTGGCCATAGACGCATCTTCCAGCTTAACACAGAAGCAGAAGAACAAGCTGACAGGCTGGGAGCACGAAAAACGCTTCGCACAAGACCTTGTCTCTCGAATCGCCGAATTCGGACAAGACGTGAGAGCCCATTATGCCGCCGTGACGTTCAGCAATCGCTTTCGCACTGAGCTGCGTTTCTCGGATTCCCAGGCAACGCAGAACGTTTTGTACCGGTTTCGCCACATGCAGCTCCTCCGCGGTGAGACATTCACGGGGGACGCCATGATGAGATGCAGGGAACTGATTTTGAAAGGAAACGACCAGCGTTTCAGTTTCAAAGATCGAGGTCAGAATCGGAACGTGACGCAGGCTGTTCTCGTTCTGACTGATGGCGTCAGTACCAAAGGGAAAGGAAAAGGTAAGAGTTAAAAAAGAAAATTAAATGAGAAATTTATGTTTAAAAGGCTTTCGTTTTACCATTTTGAGACAATGTTTGCACAGTTATAAAACATAACTATTGGAATCTTAAATTGTATGTTTTTTTGTTATTGAAAATAAAAAAAAAATGATTATTTATTACAGAAAAATAAAAAAACACGTCTCCGAAAAGCTTTACAATTACAGTTGACTTGAATGTATATGTAAATCGGCATGGCGGAAACTCGGTGTTTTATTCCGCCATTGCCCTACACCCATTTAAAATTCAAGGGCACATATTTCTTTCACCCCTTCCATTCATGTCACCGTTAATGTGTTCTGCAATGTGCTGTCATTTCAACGTCTGTTGGTTTGTACACAGGGTGCATTGTTTATTGTTTTATGTTTATATGCGCGCGGAGCTATTAAACCAAAGTAATGTACCTCATGGAAAAAAGTAAACCGTTTCACCGCGTATCGAATTATCACACATTTTAATAATGACCACTTGGTATACAATTTTACGACTTACGCCTCCCAAAGGAATTTGTATCCAGTTATGCGAGATGTTTTGTTGAATAAAATATAGTTATAATTGTGTAGGCACATACTAAAGGGTGTTCATGCATGGATGAAAAATGCTTCTTTTCGTGTATAAATACTGCAGTTTTAAAAAAATCACATTAGATAATCAAATCTATTTTGGATTAAATGTATATGTGGGTGTGAACAATTTAAGTGTATATTATCCGAAAATGTGTCAGAGTCATATTTTCTTTGACTACACATCCTGCAAAACGTTTTTTTTTTCTTTCCCGGTTCAGACCTTAAAAACGAGAAATCCCAAAAATTAACATAAGCATTTCCTTCTGAAATGCAAGGAAGACACGGCGGTCTGAACATATGACTAAATTATTTGACAGAAAATGTTGTTTAAAAACATCGACTTCAAGTGGTGTGAAAGGTCCAGTAATGATTCATAGCAGAACTTTTTGTCCCGAGAAAATTCATATTCATGTGGTACAAAAATCCCGGATATTATAATAGGTATGCTATGAAAAAGAAAAACCCGATCCTTTCATCCGTCCATTCCAGGTCGTTATACCGTAGACGAGGCGGCTTATCAGTTGGGGGAAGACGGTATTCGCACCATCGCAGTCGGGGCAGGCCCGTCCATAGACTTTGAGGAACTGGTCCAGATAGCACAGGGAGACCCCGACCTCGTTTTCACGGTGAGCGACATCAGCAGTCTGAGCAAAATCACTACGGCGATAGGTGTCGCTGCTTGCGCTGCGGGTAAGTGTCTGCACTTTTGATTCATTCATCTTTCTACAAATCTCACCCATAGCATGTCAAAGTTGCAGTTTGGTGCTGTTTAAGTTACCAATTCAATGTAAAAAGTTCATAGATAATCAGATTATGAAAGAGCATTAAGGGGGGGTGGTTATAAGGGGGTAATTTACCCATACTCTCCATGCAGATTATTTTCCAGAAACTCTATTTCTCTTTGGGGCATCTTAATTGAAGTATTCCTGCATTAAGGGCTCGAGTCAGACGGCATCAGGGCAATTATTGTATTCTGTAATTTGCTTTCGAAAAGGGGTAGAGTGTTCCTACCACATGTGTGTACCCATGGGGTCAATATATACATTATATATAGGTCATTCAATTTGCATGGAACAGACTATTTATTAATAACACTGGAGTGGAGATTTCCGCTCTCACGCAGTGTCAAACTTAGACCTGATATACGGCCTTTATTTCAGAGGGAAACAAACGCAGAAGGACAACAACAACGACGACAACCTCAACAACTACGACAACAACGCCTACGACTACAACTACAACAACAACTACGACGACAACAACGCCTACGACTACAACTACGACGACAACAACGCCAACGACTACGACAAATCCATCGTTAAGTCTGTTGAAGTCAAAAACGGGCCAACCATCTTTAGAACTGGCAAAGTCGAAGCTTCAGCTCACAGGCGGTGAGTATTTACCTGTAGATTACAGGGGTGAATCCACGATTATTTGAAGGGGGTCTGCGCATGCGAAGCCTACCCCCTCCCCCCCTTGGGGCCCAGGGTATTTTAAAGGGCGAACGGTGTCATTTGCAATGGCTTAGAACTATGATTCAGCTAGTCAAAATTCAAATTTCAAGAGGGGACTGCTGCTATGATTTTTTTCAGAAATCGAAGGGGTGTCGGAACCACCCTGACACCTCCCCCCTAAATCCGCCGCTGAATTAGAAGTGAGTGGTTGAGAAGCATTCAGACAGAAAAAAAAAAGAGTTCGACCAATAGCCCCTTATCTATTTCCATCCCACCTGACACATTGTGTTATGCTAGAAATAAATAAATAAAGTAAACAAACGAAAAAACGGAAGGCAAGCATACAAACAAGATCTTAGACATGAAATCAAACAAGACGTCAAAATAGACATTAGAAAATAAACCAAAAGCGAACAAACAAACAAACAAATACAAAACAATAGTAAAGAATAAATAAAAATGACAATAAGCAATTCACCCTGAATATATTAAATGCAAAATATTTTCAAACTCCTGTTTAGTGTGTTCATGGAAGGAGTGGTCGTCCTGTGACGCAGAGTGTAAGCAGACCAGGACTCAGGTGGGACTCCGCTGTACAGAACCTAAAACTGAGACACGGTCGTGTACCGGGGGAGAGTGCCCAGGTAAAGAATATATGTGTATTGCCGTTATTAGGATTCCCCATAGGGGAATACTATTGTTTTTGGTAGTATTATAGTTTTTATTATTATTATTCTTTCCGCGCGTTTTTTTTCGCAAAAAATCTGAAATAATTATCATAGGTAGCCTATGGTCAGAATATGCCACAGAACCAGTTTCAGTGACCTTGACCTACTTTTCAAGGTCACAGGGGCTTTTAAATGCAAAATTTGTAAAATTTGAAATTGCCATTAGGCCTAAAGTATACGCCATATGGCTAAGAGCCTTATGGCCAGTAATAATGTAGTAAATCCACATATAATGACCTACTTTTATGCAAGTAGGTCAAGGTCAAGGTCGCTAATGGGCAAACGAGCTCAAAAAAGGTTTGTTTCCGATATCTCAAGAACTGGAAGGCCCAGAGCCCCAATCATAGTGGCAAATGATGCCCTATATATATATCTAAAATTAGCCGTACTTTGGTAGCAACTGCCTAATTACTTTTTTTAATATAGATTTTTAAATATTTATGACATTGCAGAAATCTTGAGTTTGGGAATTTCTCCATGAAACACTGGTTTTTGGTCATAGCATGCTATAGTAAACTACCCCAAACATATACCCAAAACCCCCAAATCAAATGTCAAATTTGACCTTGACCCTCATTTTCAAGGTCATTTGGCTATTTCATGGAGAAATATTGAAGTGGGCTAAAGGTGATGTTTTGTTGACCCCCCTCCCCCAATTCGCACATGCTCTTTCAGAATATTGGGTCAAATTTAACCCATGACCTTCACATGGCCTTGTAAGAGCATTTCCACACCTATTTTGCAGGGGAATCCTCCGCCACTGGCTTCAGCCAGTTGCAGTATAGTTATTATATTATTGGAAGTAATAGTAGTGGTAGTATTAGTAGTAACATAATAGTAACTGTAGTAGTAGTATAGTGGTAGCGTTGCTGTTGCTGTGCAATTCGCTCTTTCTTACATCAAATATTTCTCCAGATAAAATATGGTTTAATAAACAGACATAATAAGGGTTTATTGTACTTTCCTTGCGATATATATAAAACATATATTGGACGTACATATAAAGTATAGTACTGAGTACTTAAATAAAGTAAGATTCAATCACATGCAAATAAATCGTTAAAGTGAATATAAAAGAAAATAGTAACAGAGTGGAACTAATAATTGGACATTAGGAGTAAACTTTCTAATTAAGTGAATCCTGTACCAGATTTTTCAATTATGAGGATATTTTCTTATATGTATTCATTTTTATTTCGTATAGGACTGCGAATCTTTCAATGAAAGAAAAAGAAAAAAACGCTATCACTTTTAAGTAGCTCATATCTAAGTTATTAAAATACATATTACGATCCCAGGTCAAAGTGAATGGTCAAGCTGGTCACACTGGTCACCTTGTTCTCTGGCAACGTGTTGTTCCACGCGTCATCGCAGGTGCACCAGTCTCCCTGCAGTGCGGTGTCCGGGACCAGCATATCAATCTAGATACTGCTTTATCTGCTGCTTATGTAAGTTGAGGTTTTTCTTATATATGTTCTCATACGAAACAAATGTTTTTTATCATTATTACTGTTATTACCGTTGTCATTATTATTATTATTATTATTATTATTATTATTACTTGTTGACTACAATATACAACTAAAATGTACCTAACAGACATTTTTATTGCAACGTTTCGGAAAATTTCTATTTTTACTTTATTTCTTTTCTTTTTTCATATTAACTGAATAATATTTTACATGGTAACGGTACTATAAATTTTATAATCCATTTTTGTGACAACGCAAGAACGCTAAAACCAATCTTGTTTACGTTAAGAAACCATTTTTTGGAATTAAGAGCATGGATTATTGCAGTTTCATTTACATTTCAGATGGCAACAATTTGGGCGGGTATCGAAGAGGATATTTTTCATGTTGAAATGAAAAAACCGAATCCATCGTTACCGGTATATAAAGAATTCGACCTTTGGGCGATCAACGGCATTCCCCAGGTTGTAATTGCGGAGTGGGTTTTGTTTAAATGTTTTATTAAAACCATATTGGTTGCCGGTGTTTCTTTCTTATTCATCATAAATCAACAGACGAAAGAATATTAGACAAGACATATTTTGCAACATTTTGTATTTAAATGAGCACAAATTCTGAAAATAAAGATATTAAAATTAAATGATGTGTTTATTTGCAGAAATCACCCGTACGCAACTTTGTTTGCCTTACACAGGTAAATACAGGGTTACTACTTAATATGGAATATTTTTTATCGTTGTTATTTTTGAGTGCAGATTAATTTTTTTTTGGCTTTATTCATCAAAAAAGTATGTCATTGAGTGATAAAAATAGCCAGTCTTCTATTGTGATATATTTTGATCAATAATATCAAATCTGCCATAGATGTCATTCAAAAGAAAAGAACTCCCACCCCCCGGAAAGCCATATCAACAGTTTGGTGTCAGTATATTAAATTTAAGCTATTAAAGAATATGAAAGCCTCCGGACAGTGATATGCTACACAGGAAAAGAACTCATTACAGTAAATCATGAAAAGTAATAAATAAATATTTTGTAGAGATTTAATCGCCAAAAAATAATTCCCCATATTAAGTATTAACCCTGTAATTTCCATGTTTAACAACCATGAATGAAATGCAGAAAATGCAGAGTTTTCACGTTGATTCCAACCCGCTGAGAAAAATTGATGATTAATTGGTCAAAACTATATTGCTAAAGATAAACCAAGAGATTTAAAAAATCAATTCAAAACAGTTTATTAAAATGAGTTGGAATTACCAACAAAGTGCAATAAATAGTTGTGTNTATATATATATATATATATATATATATATATATATATATATATATATATATATATATATATATATATATATCCTACATCTAATATTAATTTGTAGTTTTTTGTTTATTTAAAATATCTTAAGTTAGCCGAATAAAGTGTGTATAGGGGTACATGTATACAAATAATTATAATAAGCGTAATGACATTCTTAAACATCACGTTTAAATCTTCTGAAATTAACACATCATTCATATGAAAATGTCAGAGGACATCTATTACCAGTCTAGCTGGGAAAATATGTCCGATTAGGACATCGATACCTGTCTGCAGGACTTAGAATACTAAGTAATGGGTGTCCACTGGACGTTAAATCCTAGGAAATTATGTCCTAGGACATGCGTTCCTAGGAACGGAAGAGCCAGGACATGCATTCCCAGGACTTAGTGTCCGCAGGACATTAATTTCTAGGAATACATGTCCTACGGACATGCATTACGGCGGACATCCATTCCCTTCACACCGGTGTATCAGCAAACGTGGTTTACAGCACCACGCATACATTTACGTGTACTCAACGTTCAATTTCCCTCCCTCTTTTCCCAATGTTCTAAATGTACCAGTACACATGGCCTTATCACATATGAACCATATCTGTCACCATGAACACTGTAATGCATGCAGCTCTGGGGAAAGGCGGGGCCGCTTCATTTGGGCGTCACCCCTTAGTTGCAGGGTATACAATATGCCCATTTCTGCTTCATGATTAAAGGTCCATTTACGCTCGATTTGCAAATACATTTATCCCTTTAAGAGAATGTGCTATGGAAAATACATATTAAAATATTTTTACATGAACGTGTAAAAACATGCATGTGCATTTCACTGGCTTGTACGATTTGTAATTTTATATTTCAAACACTAAATATAGTCAAATAATTTTGATGAGGTGAAGACTTTGGTTATTAGTACATTGTGTGTCATGGCGCCTGGCGTCACTTTATGTCTTTTCATGTAAATTGTGTCATTTTAAACGTACTGATGTTTGCGGATTCGTTGAAGAGGCTATTGCGTGCTTGTGATTTTACAAATCTGTTCCATGATAAGTAATGTAAATTAAACATTAAATCGTGAGAGAACTAATACTGACATAGATGTTACCACAACATCTTAGACAACGTTATTCGATGCTATAATACCACGCAACAACTATACAGCTGTCAATATATCACTTTCAATGTATTTTTATACTTTGGAAGTTGTATCCTATTTGTATTTATAAAAATACTTAACACTGAAATTAAGAAAGACATTAAGCGGCAATGTCCTTTAACGTTCTGATAGACGCAATGTGTGTAACAAAATGCTCTCCATCCACTTTTCCACAGCTTGAGCATAAAATAAGTAATGGGTGTCAATTTTGAATAATTTCCCCATACTAGACGCCGGTAAATAAAACATATTCGGGCCTAGTACTTGGCGTGGCAAACCGTATATCTATTAAATATGCCTCCTTCACAAAGTGTAGTCTTGAATAAAGAAAGCTGCTTTTGTATTATCACAATATTCCTAAAACGTCGCGCATCTAATTGTGTCGATCTATTCGTGTAAAAACAAGGACGGGGCATTTTCTAGCCAATATCAATCCAACTACGGATGTTCATACTGGGTGCGTATCAGTACGAGTAGGGGATAATCACATGGCAAGGTCACATGATTAACATACCACTTCCTGTGCGCGACGGATTCTTTTTGGTAATAAAACCTACATTATGGTACCATAAAAACAAGGAATGTGCGACGTATGTCATCAAGTGGATAAAGTCAAAATTGTCACCCTTTCTTCTCGTTTCGATAGGCATTTGAATACCATTAAGGGTCTATATATGTGTAACGCCCTGCCATTTACCAACACCAAAGCCCAAGATGAATTGACTTGATGTAGAGGGAATGCAATGTTTATAAACACGTCGACTGCACTTTCCTACAACCGCAATGATTTTGTCATTTTTTTATTTTGCTAAAAACCTCACCTATTATGCAAGACGTTACTTAATGGATTTAATTTGTGTTCAAGTTGCTTTTAATTGGCATTACATGTATTATTTCGGTCGTTTTGGGGACATTCAACAATATTAATCGTGTTCGTAACATCTCTCTTACTACTATATATGAAAGAGAGTAAACCACACGATGAGATAAAAGTGCAATTAAAGCTGGACCCTCTTGTACAAACACCTATCTTATTATAACAGAAGTTGTAAACTAAAGGTAATAAGGAGCGAGGTAAATAAAACCAATCCTAAATGTCCCTTTCAAACAAACTGGAAATACCTAATAAATGCTTAAGACAAGGTAAATAAAATCAATGCGAAATGTCCCTTTGAAACAAACCAGTAGGACCTAATAAACGTTTAATTTACACTTGGCCTAGAGCTCACATCACAGACGATAATGATCTCATATATAAAAGGAATAGAATTTCAATAAATATAAATCGGAACGATCCATAAAAAACAAGTAACACCAAATAATCGCAATGCTCAGATATGTAAAATGAATATTTACGTCTACTAGTAGTTATTGCAAAATTTTAATGACTTTCTGTTATGTCACATAAGTTAGACATTGGATTTATCCCCGCAGTGTGCAAGTAAAAGTGGGAGCTCTGACCTCATAAACGCCCCATTATTTCACAATCAAACCACGCACTTTCGTCTCGCGCCAGCGAAGCAAAATATGTCCTTTTACCGCATTCGCATTTCCTTAATCATCAGCACTGACTTTCATATTTCACAACCGAAAATGGCTGCCAAGAGTCTCACCGTTTTCTCCCTCCTGTTAACGGTCTTGTTGGTTCGCGTAGAAGCCCAGGCCGCCGAGAGTGCACTGCTGCGGTCAAAGCTCTCCAGTGAGTAATATATGCTAATGAATGTTGGTTGCTAACGAATACTAATGGCTATCAAGATGCTTCACACACTGTAGTAGAAAGAATGTTGTTAGCTCTGTTATATGAAGTGATGCCAGTGTATGCCAGTTCTTCTCAACATGCTATTAATTACTAGTCCTTATGTAGCCACTACATGTACCATACCGCCTTTGTGACCATTTCGTGATTACAGGATAACAGTATAAGAAAAAGAGATATATATTTTTCATCTAAGCTGTAAAATAACTGGTAATTATACTAAATATACACATACTTAACACATAAGCTTAATATCTTTATCTACCATGATTACCAAAGTTCGTGTCTTTGCTAGATAAATATGTTATGACTGATAGTGGGGTACCATTTGGACGTATATACACGTACAGAATGATCTTCTTCTTCTTCTTCTTCTTCAGAAAGTCCGTTTTGTCTTGAGCAACAAACGGTACAGTTTTAATAAATATCGTTTTTTCGACTTAGTGGTCTTAGTCCTACTGCAATCAACTCGCAGACCTGTACAAAATAGGCCTTTTAACTTTGGGTTAGGTCTTATGCGAGACAAGCATAGTCTTTAGGGAGCTGTCCGTACTTCTAAATTATTGTGTTGCAATTAAAGTGATGCTGCACTCTTAAATTATTCGTGTGAATGAACTAGAAATGGCCATTTCGCAGCATGCACCACTGCAGGCGTGTCTGAAAAGTAACGGGACTAGTGACAATCCATTAGAATTCCAAACAATAAACTGCATGCTTCCCATCTTACATAGTTCCTCTGTATCCTCAATAAACTTGCAGATGTCTCATAGCAGTGAGACAAAAATGCAAGTCGAGTTTTAGATTTAATAATGAATCATATACATGGCCTCCACTTTAAAATAATCCCCTACACCCATGCTCCTTGTAAATCTGAAAGAAAATGCATGTTAGTCAAACAGAGTAAGATCGGGCGAAGGAGGATCTTGGTCTATCCGACCTTGCCATTAGGGCCTTAGTTGAAGAGCAGGTGATAACATTGGGGTAACAAAATATTTAGGACTTTAGAACATTTACAAAAACAAATAGTATTCTTTAATTCCAGATTGCACAGTGGACATATGCCTGGCTATCGATGCCTCCAGCTCTCTAAACCAGGTCACCCCAAACGGTAAAACGGGATGGAAAAACGAGCAAGACTTCGTCATAACTCTGGTCGAAACCATCGCCAGTTTTGGCAAGAACGTCCGGGTGCATTACTCCGCCATTACGTTCGGGACTAAGTTCGAATTCCCCATACGGTTTACGGACCGCCAGACTATTCCGTTCATCCTTTACCGGCTGAGAAACATGCGGCATACTGGCGGGCAGACGTTAACTGGGGAGGCCATTATTCGATGCCGCGATCTTCTGATACGCGAAGAGAGACGAAGGGGATTCGAGATACAAAAGTTGATTTTGGTTCTGACGGACGGCGTGAGTACTAAGAGAAGAGGTAAGGAGTACGTATGGTCAGGCCAAGCGAAGAAAACTTTTAATTTTTTATTTGCTCGACTATAAAGTGATTTTTGTAAACGAGAGAAGAGGCAAAGAGGCTTCTAAAGACAAAACATATTTTGCTTTTGACAGATGTTAGATGCATGCATATATGCTGCATGCTGTACAAGATGTCATGAGTTATGGCGAAAGCTGCGCCGATTTGAATCCTATACGCTTTTTTATCGTGAAGCAAGTGAATAAGCTATCAAATATATTGAGATGGTCAACGCAAAATTATTTTCCTTGGACATTTGTTTTAATCTAGGCTCCACAACTGTTGCGCAAGCAATGCCAACTGTTATAAATGCTGGCATCCGAACAATGGCTGTCGGTGCTGGACCTATGATAGACAAGGACGAGCTGCTTCTAATAGCGCAAAACACCGAAGCACATGTATTTATGGCTGCAGACACCAGCAAGCTGAGTGATATTGTGGACACCATCGGTGTAAGGGCATGTGTAGCAGCGACTACGACTACGACTACAACAACAACAACGACTACTACTACAACTACTACTACACCCACTACGACTACTACACCCACTACAACTACTACACCCAGCACGATTACTACAACTACTACTACACCCAGTACGACTACTACACCCAGTACGACTACTACAACTACTACACCCACTACGATTACAACAACCCCTATAACTACAATACATATGACTTCAACAACCCCTACAACTACAATACATATGACTTCTACTACCCCTACAACTACAATACATATGACTTCTACTACCCCTACAACTACAATACATATGACCTCAACAACCCCTACAACTACAATACATAAGACCTCAACCACCCCTACAACTACAATACATAAGACTTCTACCACCCCTACAACTACAATACAAAAGACTTCTACCACCCCTACAACTACAATACACATGACCTCAACAACCCCTACAACTACAATACACATGACTTCAACAACCCCTACAGCCAAAACAACAGTTACAATGCCATCCACAACAAAACAAACAAGTGCAACAACATCATCATCATCAACCAAAATGTTTTCGACAGCTGCCTCAACGACATCTTCGCCAACTACTATAAAAGTCTTAAAGCTTACGACGCCCCCATCTACCTCTGAAGGTAAATCAGAAGTGTCAAATGTTAAATGTGTATTATTTCACACGTAACTTGGTATCTTTTGTCAGAAACCGAAGCACTGACTGAAACATGGTTCTTTAATTGCTGTGACATACCTGTAAGAATGTAAAGATTTGAAAGGGAGCACTGATTACTTTTGCAACAAATGACACTTTTTCATGTACACTAAGCACTTTATTCAACCAGATATCGTTTACTGGTAGTCAATTACATATTATATAGGGAGGAGGTATATACCCGTACATCTAAAAGCATGCGGAATGAATGGAAGGGCAATTAAGCCTTTCCCAAAATAAAGTAGGATTACGTTACGAGCTTTTTTAAACACCATCAACAAGTTCTCCATATGTTTGCGTCCTGCTGTTAAATTAATTTACTGAATGTGTTAAACTCGTAGGCTACGTTAAGGTGACTCTCTCTTACGTCATAGTCAGACTTAGCTGTCAATCTCTCAATACGAAGCAGTGTGCAAAGAATTGTAATCCGTAAGAAACCGAAATCCCTTCCCCCTTACTTTATACAGGTGATGTACGTCCCACATACGGAGACCAATACTTCCGACTAACCCTGTAGCCTGTATGCTAATTAGCCGCATGAAACCTAAGACCTCCTCTCCTCTCCATTCCTGCCACACCGCTTCAGGCTGGGTCAGTTTAAGACTTGCCGCCCGATGTCCTCCTAATATTCAGTACAGCTATTTTTTCACTTGGTCTTTCAGTCAGAGAGAAATGGTCACAGTGGTCCGATTGCGACGTTTCTTGTGGAGGAGGGGTGCAGACCCGCGTGCGCGTCCAGAGGTGCTACAACAAAGGCTGTGACCCTAAAGTGGACGTCCGGCAATGCAACAGGGAGGTCTGTCCAGGTGAGAATGGCCATGGGCCATTAATTACGCTATTTCAAATACACTGCGAGACCCATTCGAGTGACTAACAAAACTACACACGAGTAATACAGTATTTAATACAGTATGTCATATAAATAATGTATAAATGGTGTATAGAGGTGTGGATCTTCTCAGTACCAGGTAAATAATGTTATCGAGCCTATAATTTGTGTGTTATAACCACCATGCAACTACCACCTGCGTTACGACATCAGTTATTTAACATTCCTCATTAAAAGGACGGATATTTTAAGAAAACTCCATAAAGAACATATTTTAGTTGACGGAAAGTGGGGTGAGTGGACTGAATACAGTAAGTGCTCAAAAACCTGCGGAAATGCCATCCAGATGCGATCCCGCACTTGTAGCAATCCCGCACCAGCAGGTTCCGGAAAACTCTGCGAGGGATTCGAAACTACGGAAATAAGGGATTGTGGCTTACCGGCCTGTCCGGGTGAGTGTTTTTTTTTTCAGATATCTCTGTTAATTGTATGTTATGTTTTTTTAAATTCTATTTTATAGTTTGCAAACATATCCGCCATTTGTAGAAATAAATTACTAGTACCAGTAATATTAGAAATGCGCGTACATGTACATATATGCTACTACATATAATGCACGTACTGTATACTCTTCAGCATGTGATAAATAGTTATCATCTATGATCCAACTACCAAGTTTTAGAACAATTTTGCCTAACTTACCATTAAGGAAACCGTACACTTTTTTACAATGTCTGATGAAATTATACAATTACAGTTTTTGCATTATTACAGTGGATGGCCAATGGGGAGATTGGTGCTGCACGTGGTCTTCATGTAGCGCCACCTGTGGGGGAGGGCGGAGAACGAGAAGTCGGGAGTGTAATAATCCAGCGCCATCTAACGGCGGAGCCATTTGCCCCGGATCGAATTCTGGTGCCAATACTGAAACCGAAGCGTGCAATACACAACCATGTCCAAGTAAGCAATTGAACTGTCATATTAAGGACAAGTTCCCAATTTGCCTTTTTAAGCTGTAGAATATACACAATTTCTACTTTTGACGAAAACAGGGATATAAAAATAATTCGTTTTCCATAGAATGGATTCTGCTGTATCTACCCCTTAACCATCTTTTGTCTGTTTATCAATATTGCACTATACCAGAGTATGAAATGGCCGCCTGCCCGCCAGCCCGAGGCTGGTAACTTTCAGGCCGGGCGGGTAAGATTTACAAATTACCCGCCCGACGGGCTGGCTATTTTTACAGCCTTTTTTCACCTTTTATTTTGTCTATGTTCATAAGCGATTTCAGCAAAATATCAAATCAACTCACTGTTTTCACCCACTTTTATAGAAGCAAAGAACTAACCATAGCTTGCAATCGAACACTCGTATCGAAATGTAACCAAGTCTCCCTCTCAGTGGCCTCATTTTCAAAGTCCCGTCTGTGTGATACGAAGTTGAAAGACAATTTGAAACGAGGCACATTGTTCTTAACCAGCTTCAGTGCACAGCAGATAACGTTACGTCATTGTTTTGTGTAGAGGAGATACCGCGAATAGCAATTTGTAGGTTAGAGTAATAAAAATGTGAAAGTAGAAAAAGTTATGATATTGATTAAATAGACTCACAGATACATGAAGTGCTTATAATCAACAGTAATAAAGGCAACGGAGGCAAATTGAAGGAGAATTTCAGGGGCGTAACCAGACCTTTAAAAATTGTACGCACAGCAAAATTCCCAGCAAAATTTAGACTAACGCAAGAAATGAAGGACAGCATAATCACAGCATATGTACCACACATTGCAGCTTAATTTTCATTAATAATGAATTCTTATATAACAAAAACATCATTTAGTCAGAAATATTCTCGCAATTAAAAAAGTTTCAATATACTTATTACCCAGAATGGTATATTTATTTAAAAGGAGGCTAGTTTCGCATACGTGGGACCCCCTTCGAATAATCCTGGATCCGCCTCTGAGTTGAACTTACATACGATTTCATTCACCTTACATGTGGATGCATGGCTCCCCAAAACAACCAATTGTACGACACGACAGAGCTCTGATACATCTAAGTTTAATTATTTGTTTGTAAAAATTGCCCATGTCACCCTGTTAGTTTGGAGGGGTAAGCTGGGTCAAGTCCGTGTCAAAATTCTTTGACGCTTTGCAGGAAAAATCCTTCCTTTGTTTTCTCTAGCTCCTTATAAAACCTGGTGTCCAGATTATATCTAGTGCCCTCAGGGTTGCGGGAGCTGCTCTTTGAAAATAACACTCAGGTAGATTTTTACCTGAGATAAATATCGCCAGCGAGGCTTCAAGAGAGTTGTGGGCCACTGAAACCTCCAATTAAGAGGTAAAGGAAGTTCCAGTTAGATGGACGATTAAGATAAAACTTGTTAAGGTTTCAGGCATTGTTTACCTCAGTTAAATAAAAGTATGCAAGACGGGGCGGGGGGTCAGAACAATTGTGCCTATACAATTGATACAGAGGATTTGTTCCTACAGGTGACTTTAATAAGCAGAGGATTTCTTTATATTCCGTGAAAAATAAACTAAATTTATATGAAATAATATCATGGTTGGCCAAAAAATTGTACGCACAGTGCATCCGTGCGTATGCCTAGTTACGCCCATGAATTTTACAAAAAAATTGAATCCCAAAATTATGAGTGAACGTACGAGTTTACGCCGTGCGTCAGATGTAGTTCTTTTCCTACGTGCTTTCATCTTGGGCTGTCAAAAATTTAAAAAAAATCTATCAAGTCCGATAGAGAAGTTCACAAAAGAAAAACAATTGAGGGAAGAAATAAAAATAAGAAAGATTACGACAGAACCAAACAAAGGAGAACAAATTAGGACCCATGGAAAGGTGACTTCGATTTGCAATGAGTCGAGCGGCAACATTTTTAACCGTAACTCGAAAGTATCACGCATTGCGACCGAGCGCAAGCATCTCGATCCTATAACTCGCCCCATATAGTATATTGTAGCCTCTGTGTGATATAGCTATTCTCAATAAGTGGTGCTTTCAAGATACGGGGCCCTGCAGGACTGTTTATAGGCCATGGGCGTGCAGGACCGTTCCCGACCGCTTTAAACGATATTCAAAGGGACCCTACGTGCTGAATTTTTTTTTCTTTATTGTCAGCACAGAGATGGATTTATTTGACAAGATATATATATGTATTTGGTCATACTTGTTGCTATACAGAAAAGCAAACATTATGATCAAATGATATCACGAAATCGGAATAAAAGTTATGAGTAAGTTATTGAAGAAGAAGTGAGACAGCCTTCAAAGTGAACATAAACTGAATTGACAACCCCCCTCCCCCGCCCTCTAAAGGGCCCTGAAAATTTCTGGTATTTTAGATGGTGACTGGTGTCATTTGGTATGGTTTAGAACTATGATTCAACTAGTGAAAAGTCTTATTTCAAGAGGGGATTTTTTTTGCAGAAATTGAAAGGGGTGGGGGGTGGGGGTGGGGGGTCAGGACTCCCCTGGCCCCCCTCTAAATCCAAGACTGAAAGGTATCATTAAGTAGAAATTCCAACCAATTTCTAAATTTCCACGCATAAGGCATGATATTGCCCTTTCATTTCCAAATGACTCTCCCAAGAATGTATTCTAGACCCCCTCAGCATACCTCTCTTAACTCTAGGGGTTATCATAAATAGGGCAGGTAACTACATGGCCAGGCTGGTAACTTTTCAGAGTTACCTGCCCGGCGGTCTGGCAAGTAATTTTCTTGAATTTCATACACTGACTATACATGAAATTATCCACTGCGACAAAATAGTGAAAACAATGATGTTTTTTTTCCTGAATTTTCACTCAGCCTTATTCATAAAGTTAAGGTGGAATAATCAGGGAAGTAAGCAGAATACATATTACTTAAATACTATAAATGCATCAGCTAGTGTATTTCACTAGCTGTTCACTAAGGGACCGTTCAAAATGATTTGTGTCGACCTCAGGCCTACCCAACTACCAGACTCGGCACCTACGGATCCAGAATAAACCGGTATATCAGACCACACTACCCGTTTTCAAGGTGTGTGTCAGATCGCATTACAGAGTATCATACCCCATCACAAATTTTGTAAGCCTACCTGTCATCCGGGTATCGCGCCTCGTTTTCGTCAAGTAGGAGTCGTATGAATACAACAACATGGAAATCGGCAATCCTCGGCTCATTCCGCAAGCTCCATACTATTGTCGAGTGCGGAGACATCGGAGTAGTTCCGAGTGACAACATGGCGACAGACGACTCACTGAATCTCGTCCAGAAAATATTTAACTCCCGACAGAATATGCTTCCGCTATCAAAATTAGGTCTACTTTTCTAAATGAATATATAAGTTTGCATGTTCTTATTTACAAAACATCATTGGCTATGTTCGAACCTAAATTTTATGTTACAAATTGCGGTATTGTCAGATTTTTAGCATAAACAGGGAAAATTGCAGCAGCGCATGAATCTAGATGAGATGCACTACTTTCCAACCCCGCTTTAGACCACGGTGGAAGTGAAGAACAAAAGATTCAGACGTGGTATAACTCGCATAACCGCACGTCTCGCATGAATGCGTTATAACCCGCTAATGGACCCGTGGTCTAAATAAGATAGATCCCTCGTCAGCGAGGGTTATGTGACATCCACTCGTGCTTAGCACTCGTGTATGCCACATAACCCTCGCTGACTCGGGGTCTATCTATTACTACGATTATCGCTATCACATCGCGCACCAGACAAAATCGGTGTGGTGGCTGATAGTCTGTAATGCGATCTGACACACACCTTGAAAACGGGTAGTGTGGTCTGATATACCGGTTTTTTCTGGGTCCGTAGGTGCCGAGTCTGGTAGTTGGTTAGGCCTGGACCTAGATAAGGCGCACTAACTCCACGGGGACTCTGCTGGATACAATCAGATTAAAAGACTTACTAACACACCTCCCCCGGCGTTGAATAGAATATAGAAAAAGCGGGTAATTGTACAAGTACGTTGGGGACAAGAGGCCTGTTAATCCTATTTCATTAAGCGAGAGCCTCCATTGGAGTTTCTAGTAGTACTAGTGCTCCTTAGCTGTAGGTCGACATAATTCATTGTGCATGGCCCCTAAGAAACTAGAATTATTATATTGAAAGTACATGAGGAACTTTTATATTACACATGTTATTATATACATTTCCAGTTGACGGTGGGTGGAGCCACTGGACAGGATGGTCCAGCTGTGACCAGACCACGTGTCACGCAATGCGGATTAGGATCTGTAACAGCCCGCCGCCCCAATATGGCGGCAAGACGTGCCAAAAACCTGCTTATGAGCTAAAGCAGTGCTTCTTTGTATGCTGTATGGGTAAGTATATACTGGGTGTAGGTAATAATTAATGAAAGATTGGTTTTGTTATGTGTTCATATTTAATGAAATTGACCCCTTTAAGATATTTCAGTTTCGCTCTCATTTTTTGGTAGTAAGAAGCTGTATTACTTCAGTGTACACGTGGTTCTCTTCAGATATATTCACTAACAAAACGTGCATTTTATTGTTTCAGGCAATAAACCTTTACAGAGAGAGCTTATAAAGTATGATTGGTTGAAATGTTAACGCCATCCGCCACAAGGAAGCCGGTATTCGTAACTTCTGTGAATGTTGCCTAAGTATGACAGCTTCTCTCAAACTAACCACAGAGACAAATAACTTCAAGCAATATCCTCGGTACTGATTGGCTGAGCGGAGTTTCACGTGACCAATAAAGATTTTATTTCCAAAACAGCTTTGCATTTGCTGTTGCAAAAAAATGAGTAGGCTCCAACTTGAGGAAGTCGATACACTCTTTTATAAAATCGTCTCAGCTTACACATCGCTTGGATTCTCCAAAGTATATCTGTCCGCTATAGCGAACAGGCCTACCCAACTACCAGACTCGGCACCTAAGGATCCTGAATTAACCGGTATATCGGATCACGCTACCCGTTTTCAAGGTGTGTGTCAGATCGCATATCGGAGTATCATACCCCAGAACAAATTTTGTAGCACGACTGCGGGCTCATCCACGCTCGGCTGAACAACCTTAAACTGTACTCTTACTTTAGAGTACTCTATTTTATTGTCTCTATGGGGATATATGGGGACTTTACGACATTCGGGTTGAATGTTTTAACCACTTTTGATAGGGCTTTTTTGCATTGTACTAGTATTAGATTAATGTGGCAGTCTAAGGTTAATCTAGGTGGCTTTCAAATTTATGCACCATATATCATATAGCGATTTTACGACAATCGTTTACTATCCAATCAAGGTGACAGCCGAGCATGCCAGGGCTCATCCTGTCGGTGTTCTGGCTGATACTCCGAAATGCGATCTGACACACACCTTGAAAACGGGTAGTGTGGTCCGATATACCGGTTAATTCAGGATCCTTAGGTGCCGAGTCTGGTAGTTGGGTAGGCCTGGCGAAGTAATTGCAGTTTTATACTTTTGTCGTATGTGAATGCTGGTGTACATGTACGGTAGTTTGACAAAAGAAACATGTCCTCTAGAGAGAAAAAAAGCCACGTAATGTTGCCTCCAGTTTGGTGCTTGACTTAAGGGGGAAAATATGAAAAAGAGGTTCCTTTAACACAGTTTTTGCAAAGCCTGATCAAGCTCGAGGTTCTTTTCTCGTGTATAATCGTATATCGTAATAAATGTTTTTATTATGTATCATTCATCTTGCCCATGTGGTGTTAAAGGGATAACATTTCATTTTGGTTCCCTGGGGTAAACGAAAATTTCCGTTTTTTTTTTTTTTTTTTTTTTTTGTTTTGTTTTTTGTTTTTTGTTTTTTTTAATGGTGTCTTACGGAGGTCACGTGATTCGTTGACAAGCACAGAGTCCAGTCCCATAATTGCGATAACCACTGTTCTTACATCTATTAATTTGGTATATTTCTATGACTTATTTACAATGTATTATTACAATGAAATATGGATCTCATACACTGTACAAAGAGTTGTTATCCCTCAGTAAAATACTGATAACTCCTTTATTGGTGATCCAAGGGCGTGGGAATATACCCGAATGTACCGTAGTAATACCGGTTTTCAGGCTTCTCTGGGTCGATTTTTCAATAAACCGTAAAACCAAAAGTTGGTCTCGATTTTCAGACCTTTATTCCAGTCGACTTCAGTCTAGGGATAAAGTTGCTTTTGTCTACTACTCTTGCTCTCAACGGTGGTTAAAATCCAATTGTTATAAAACAGCAGCGACAGGCGTTTTATCTGGCTTTCAGTTTAAAGTTAAAAAGTTCAAAACCAACTCTCGCTCTTACATTAATTTTTTTTTTGAAACTGACCTCTATACCAGGTACGTTGATATTGATTTGTATAAACCCCGGCGCTGATGGTCGACCAGTATTTCCAGCCAGGTGTTTATTTAATGCCCAGATCGGTAGCAGGTGAGTGCAATTAAGTAAATCGCATTGAAACTAATATGACAAACACTTGTCCTGTTGTAGCAGTAATGGGTATTGATCAGATGACTGTGAAGTCCATTCTTTAGCAAGTTGTAATTTAAAGCAGTGTTCTAATGGGATTGGCTCTTTTAACTCTGTTTGAAGTGCCGAGATTTTTATACGAAGAGGTGATATAGGACAAACCTCCCATCTAACATCGATTCTTTCGGCTTTTTGAGGAAAACATTTAGTTTTAAAGCAAAACATCGAGGGGAATAAGGTGTTTAGTTCGTGTTTTATAGCCGCCCGTTTTTATTTAAATATAGTCAATCTTTACTTACATGTATTTCAAGACTTTCCACTAGGACTATGTAGAGAAATATGTACCCACTAGAAAGAAGAAACTCGCAAGAGTTATCTTTGTTCTTATATCCGCTAATGTCTTTTTGCAGTCTGATCGACATAATACATGTACGCAAGTTACATGTTCCAGCCCTGTACATGTATGTTAATGTAATATATAAGATGCCAAACCTTTGCCTCAATATCCGACCAAATGCCATCATATATTTTCATGTAGCAAATCTTAAAGAAATTCCAAAGGACATCGTCTCATACTTAAAAAACATAAAAAAACGGCATTTCAACCGATTTTTTCCCCGTCTTCTGTGTGTGCTATGTATATACTGTAGCTATACAGCAGTTTTGTGTTATGAATTACTACATGTACGTCATTTGGCGGACTTTTACAAAAACTGGTGGGACGGACATATGTATGAGCGCCTTCTCCCCACCCCCAAACTACATGTAGCTGTCGCCGCAGGGGCCCTGCAATTAAACCTCGAAACCGAGATTTTATCCGTTCAGTGGCGCGTGTAGAGGCGGGGTGACCATCAGGGTTTAGCGGCATCGCTATTGAAGTGGGGTCAGCAACATTTAGTTCGCGTATCAGTTAGGCCGCGGATTATCTCTTCTGAATGCGCTCGTAGATCCAGCTTCCAACCAGAAATTTGAAGAAGGTGCAGTTTTGCAGCTATTTTTTTTTTTTTACTGACCGAGTGATTAATTTGGTTTGTCTTTTGGCATGTCGACTTATTTGAGTTATATGCGTTAAACGGGTTCTACGCTCGTTTCATCTGTAACTTTAAGCGGTCTAAAATGATCTACATGTAAAATGGGAGGCAAGGAAGCGATTGATCTGCGTCAGCTATTCAGTACGGACATCATCCCCTCATAACGATGAATGTGTTGGCACCGATAAGAGTTGCAAAAATGTATTTTTCCAAGGTAAAACAATGCCTTAGATTTGTCCATGTCTTCTCATATTACCATCCGATCACCTACCACCTGGGAAGATAAAGAGGTGTCCATTGAATTTGGGAGTAATGCGACACGAACATACCTGGATATACGTACATATTTTGCGGTGTGAAGTTCAATTAACCGCTTACTACAACAAAGATAATGTGTGTTTTATTGTTAACATGCAATTTATATACATGTGAATTTGTTCAGTTGACTAAAAGAGTCCATTTTCACTGCAAAATGAATGTAACCAACCATTATTCAAATGGTCACGCAGGTTATGGTTTATGAAATTAATATTTGGCCCGCCGTTTCCAAATGTTCAAAAATTAAGTGGAAAATATTTTCATTTCCTATGTTCAATATATAGTCGTTGAATAAAGATCTTCATTAGCGCAATAAATATGTGTTGATTCGAGAAAGCTGATTGTAGAAATGAATACTGTCAATCCCGCTCCTTTTTCTGTTTTTCGTCACGTTTTGTTACAATGCGCATCCGTTTGTAAAGCCTCGAGGTTATAACAAACACGGTCCCTATCAGTTACTTCCAGTTTCTTTGAAGTTGATGAGTCAATTTCTTCATGGTTATTAGCGTATTTGTCAATTTGTAATATTTGTTGAAAGTTCTTTTTTGATGGAGCTTTTTTAATCGATATATTGATCATTTCAAACAAAGGTAAAACAGATAAGATTTCAAAGCGTATTGTATTTGACAACAATCAACTCTTTTTTATTGCCAGTGATTTTTTCCACAATATATCAGTTTAATTATAATCGATGTAAAGGCAACCCGTTGCTAATTATCATGTAAACTCGGAATTAAACGATGCGGTATTTCAATATTTATTAAGACGGTTTTCTAAGGTAATGATTCAAACGATATATTCCGATTCAGTTAGCAAAAATGCCGTCGATTCGTACACAAACGCAAAATAGAGCACCTAATGTAATCTTTTAATGTTTATACATGTTAATTGTGGTGACATAGACACCTATTCTATCTCATTCGCTCTCTCTCTCGGTCGATACATTTCCGATGCACTATTATTTAACAAGCTAGTCACAAAATTGCCATTGAATGGTATCGAGTTTGACGGCAAACTTTATTTACACCGTCATAATAGCTCCAGCGTCCCCAAAATGAGAGCGATGGGTTATAGGGGGTAAATGGGCGTTGGGGGGGGGGGGGTAGGGGGGCTTTGAGGGGGTGTTTGATGAGGGAGTGTGGGTGGGAGGTAGACGTCTTCTTACAAGCGCTATATTTCAAAAACTGGTCTGAATTTGTAGACCGAAATTCAAGTATTCTCTGACTCAGGATAATCAGTGGTACTCCAATTATGTAAAATAATACCCCTGTTTATGTCACGAAAAGAACGACTCATCTTTTAAATGACGGATGTGGTTAGTACGTGGTGGGGTCTGTGTGACATTCAGCGTGAATATCAAAGGTTGATCTGAAAAATGACAAAAATAAAAATAAAAATAAAAATCCGCGGGTTTTTGACTGGTAGCCTTAAATGTCTTAGTCAAAAGTTCAGTGGCTGCAACCTGCCTGTATTATTGACTGAATTGGTCAAATAGTTGCTTCGTAACAGTTTAGATATGAGATTAAGGGTAGGGGGTTAATTTCTGGTAAGAGTCTAAGGGATGAAGTCTCAATGGAATAACCTACCAATCTGCTTAAAGCCATTCACAGTTTAGATCAGGTACAAATAGATCCTGCACAAACACTGCTTGGATAATACAAAGAACACCCCGTGCTTCAGTGTCTTAATTTTCATAAGACTAATACTGTACTTCTGTCGTTAATAAAAATGGATTAGGCAGGGTAATGTGTGCCCGGTGACCTATGTAGTTTTATAACTAGTTTATACAAGCATTCTGATGAGTGAACTTTGAGTGTAACTCTGGCCGAGCGAGGTGTGTGTGTGTGTGTGTGTGTGTGTGTGTGTGTGTGAGAGAGAGAGAGAGAGAGAGAGAGAGAGAGAAGTGTAACTGTAATATCTAATTAGCATCACTTAACAGTGACCTTTACTCCAGTGTTATTTATCGATACTAACGTAAACACTTTTACGCTGGTCCATTAATTGGAAATATCGGCTTGGGTTTTAATGACTGAGAACGTCGATGAAAATTGAACTTTCTTTTATGAATTATTAAGCGTCTGTAAACGTCGTGTCATTAATACAGCTTCTCAGCCGCCTATTATATTTATGAAAATAAAGGCGTCTCTGGCGTTCAGATAACTGCATACCGTCACACGACGAATGTCGAGTGATGTCATAACTCGCCGCTGAAGCTGGAGCGGAAATTTGTACGGGTAAGTGTTTTCTAACATTGTATTTACCCGTTGTTACGTCGCCTTCAAACCATGCTATTAAGTGTGACGGTATTACATAGCACAACTTTGTAAATGCTGTTAGCAATGGCAACCCGATCTCAATCGCATAAGTCTCCAGGGTCCATTTGCTTTTGACGTTGTCCACTCAGTCTAATCTCGTCCAGTGTTTGGTCAAGCAGAGTCAACTGAAATTGGATATTTTCTTTTATCAGTTTAATGTGACAACATTTCTATTATTTCGAGGTATGTACATATAGTTCTACTTTCATTAATTCAAAAGTGCGATCAGCTTTGGGCAAGCACAATGTATCCACATCACAGTATATTAAACGCGTTGCCTCTCTATCGTGTGTTCTGATTTTTGTCACATCACCGACACAGAGATTGTTCAGACAAGAGAGTTTTAAACCAACTAACCAACTAGGTCTGAAAGAGGCTCAAAAATGTTAAAACCAACTAGGTCAGAAAGAGAATCAAACGTTTCAAAGGGACATTGTTTTGGCCGCTAATCTCTGATAGGCGATTACGTAAAGTCGATTTAGGGATATCGGATCTGAGAGCGGTTCAGGATCGATCAGATCACAATAAAAGGGTAGCTGACATTACTTAATAGGCTGTTGTATGTGATGGACGCCATTATGGTTCTGATACTGTGGCAACGTCTGAGCCTGCAGCCAGTATTCCTTGTAGTCGGTGATCATAGACACATATTCTTTTGAATTTCTTTTTCAGAGATAGCTGGAAGAAATAGAACGACTGCAAGGAGAGAAGCAACGGTGGACGATATACTAAGTAAAGCAATAGTAGGGGATTACGTACTGGAATAGAATTCTCTGTTTATTAAAAAAAACTCTCAGCGAAGTTTGATATTAGCACAATGAGTCAAGTCGATCCCTTCTCCGTGGACTACAGAACAAGTGAAAGAAAGCAGGCCTTTACCGACGACGGTCTCATTTCATTCAATGTGTACAACAGAGGAAAGCAGAAACAGAATTCCCGCGATATTGTGAAACAGTTCAAAGCAGAGAAGGACGGAGACGACGAATTCTCACTCAGCTCAGAATTGTCCAGTTTTGCCAACGATGTCAGCATCTTGGGTATGAAGCAAATCGTGAATCCGAAATTTTCGCTCTTTCGACGGGCCACGTGGCTGTGTTTTGTGTTGGCGGGAACTGGATTTCTTATTTATCATCTGTGGAACAGACTCGATTATTATTTCAGTAACCCGGCCTCGGTGAACATACGGGTCAACTACGACGGATCGCTGCTTTTCCCCACAGTGACAATTTGTAACAATAACGTGTTCCTCAAAAGCAAATTGGCTGCAAACAATGAAACATATATAGGGGATTTATTTTATCCTTCTTTCGATTCATATCCAAATTGGAGTGCTTATAACTTCACCGGTTTTAACTGGACGGATTTTTACTACAGAAATGGCTATTCTGTCATGGACGTTTTCGGAGGGGTAAGTGACGTCATATATACATGTATAATATATAATATGCTACATCCATAGACATCTGTATTTTGTCGGTCTATATAAAAACAAATTCAATCACTGTGTAGAAATGTTAAAGAAGAGAGAAAATGAACGCCAATGAGACTATCGCAATAGATGTCGCGTTTTTCAGCTTTTGGGTATTTTGTTAAATCATGAGGTCGATAAAATGTTCCTGCATTTAATCTCCCTCTCTCTTTCTCATGCTTCACATAATTACTTAAAGGGTGTATCTCCGATATAAATTGCTAGGCTCCTCTATAGCCAAAAATCATTTAACGTCGTCTGCTTTTTCTTAATTACAAATAACTTATTGCACGAATTATTTGAGAAAATAGATATTGAATGGTGTGCGTTGGGGTCTAAATAAAGTCAACATGCCTTTTAGGCTATAGTCACCGTACTTTTGCAAGTAAACGTGGAGGCAACTGGTCAATGGTTTTGTTTTGATAATGGTGCAAGAGGCAATTATTCTTTCTAAGAGGCTACACTTATAGCCTATGCTTAGAACACTCGTTTAATTTATCATTTTGTCATTATTGTTGCTNCTTAATAGGCTATTGTATGTGATGGACGCCATTATGGTTCTGATACTGTGGCAACGTCTGAGCCTGCAGCCAGTATTCCTTGTAGTCGGTGATCATAGACACATATTCTTTTGAATTTCTTTTTCAGAGATAGCTGGAAGAAATAGAACGACTGCAAGGAGAGAAGCAACGGTGGACGATATACTAAGTAAAGCAATAGTAGGGGATTACGTACTGGAATAGAATTCTCTGTTTATTAAAAAAAACTCTCAGCGAAGTTTGATATTAGCACAATGAGTCAAGTCGATCCCTTCTCCGTGGACTACAGAACAAGTGAAAGAAAGCAGGCCTTTACCGACGACGGTCTCATTTCATTCAATGTGTACAACAGAGGAAAGCAGAAACAGAATTCCCGCGATATTGTGAAACAGTTCAAAGCAGAGAAGGACGGAGACGACGAATTCTCACTCAGCTCAGAATTGTCCAGTTTTGCCAACGATGTCAGCATCTTGGGTATGAAGCAAATCGTGAATCCGAAATTTTCGCTCTTTCGACGGGCCACGTGGCTGTGTTTTGTGTTGGCGGGAACTGGATTTCTTATTTATCATCTGTGGAACAGACTCGATTATTATTTCAGTAACCCGGCCTCGGTGAACATACGGGTCAACTACGACGGATCGCTGCTTTTCCCCACAGTGACAATTTGTAACAATAACGTGTTCCTCAAAAGCAAATTGGCTGCAAACAATGAAACATATATAGGGGATTTATTTTATCCTTCTTTCGATTCATATCCAAATTGGAGTGCTTATAACTTCACCGGTTTTAACTGGACGGATTTTTACTACAGAAATGGCTATTCTGTCATGGACGTTTTCGGAGGGGTAAGTGACGTCATATATACATGTATAATATATAATATGCTACATCCATAGACATCTGTATTTTGTCGGTCTATATAAAAACAAATTCAATCACTGTGTAGAAATGTTAAAGAAGAGAGAAAATGAACGCCAATGAGACTATCGCAATAGATGTCGCGTTTTTCAGCTTTTGGGTATTTTGTTAAATCATGAGGTCGATAAAATGTTCCTGCATTTAATCTCCCTCTCTCTTTCTCATGCTTCACATAATTACTTAAAGGGTGTATCTCCGATATAAATTGCTAGGCTCCTCTATAGCCAAAAATCATTTAACGTCGTCTGCTTTTTCTTAATTACAAATAACTTATTGCACGAATTATTTGAGAAAATAGATATTGAATGGTGTGCGTTGGGGTCTAAATAAAGTCAACATGCCTTTTAGGCTATAGTCACCGTACTTTTGCAAGTAAACGTGGAGGCAACTGGTCAATGGTTTTGTTTTGATAATGGTGCAAGAGGCAATTATTCTTTCTAAGAGGCTACACTTATAGCCTATGCTTAGAACACTCGTTTAATTTATCATTTTGTCATTATTGTTGCTATTGTTGTTGTTGTTGTTGTTGTTGTTGTTGTTGTGTGAAGTGACGTGACACAATAAATGATCGTTTTAAAACATTTTTTGTCATTCTAGTTTTGCTTTTGGAAATCTTCACCTTGTCAAGCTAATGTATTGAAGCCGGTCATCACCGAACATGGCGTCTGCTATCAGTTTAACTCAGGTAAGAAAAAAATACTCAGTGTATTGTTGGGGCCATGAATAGCCTCTCTCTCTCTCTCTCTCTCTCTCTCTCTCTCTCTCTCTCACACACACAACACACACAACACACGCACATCCGCACCCACACGCGCTAAAATACTTTGTAATCAATAAGCGGCATTGAATTTTACATCAAATAAAACATTATCATACTACATTAACATATAATAACACTTACAGGGTTTAGAAATCAAATAGTCATTTCCTATTAAAACAGGTGATGAAGGAAAGCGATCTGACGTCGAGGGGTCACTATATGGGTTGATGATAAGCTTCATGACGAAGCAGGAAGAATATCTAGTCGGCTCGTATATTGCAGGGTATACGGTAAGTATAGAACTCATTCTTAGTGGCCTCGTTATATTGTAGAATATACGGTAATACCCCCGTCACACTAGAGGTACCCTGAGTGTCAGAGCAACGTAAAATTTAGCTTGTTAATATTAAATATACCTTGGAGTCATTTTTACCATAATGTTTCGAATGCTGCCGGAATGCCGTGAGAATATTAAGAATGCAGTCATAGTGCAGTTAGAATACTGTTCAAATGTCATTCGATAAATTTCCTCTTGGAATGCACTTCGAAAGTTTTTGACATGACAAAAACATTCGAGCCGGCCACAAGAATGGGTAAATATATTTGGAATGCACTCAGAATTTTTAGGATGTTTTTAGAATGCTCTTCGAATATCCTTCGAATATCCTGGAATTTTATTTCAGACGCCATTCTTAATCATTCCGCCTCTAGTGTGACGGGGATTTTATACCCCGCCAGAATGTTTCGAATGTGCCTCGGCTGAGCTGAAATATTGTTGCCAGCAATCGAACTGCACTAGTGCGCCGTTCAAAGTGTATTCTAAATATTCTTATTACCTTCTGACAGCATTTTAAATATTCCTAACTGCTTTTGAGAGCTAATACAGTCGAAAGTGCACTCATCATTCCTAGCAAATTCAAGCGCATTCTGAGTATTCCAACGGTACTCTTACAATAATTAAGGTCAATTTTAAATTTTTCCCCGAATATTGCGCGAATTTTAAAAATTCTTCGTTCAGGCTCATTGTTCTTCATTCCTGCTGATTCCGAATAAGTGTGACGGGGGCTTGAGTCTATAACTCATTCTTAGTGGCTTCGTATATTGTAGAATATAGGGTAATTAGAGCGCATGCGTGATACTTTCTAGGTGCATTTTCACCTACTAAACGCTCTAGGTTCAATGAATTTATACCCGGCTATTTCGATAGCTATTAAGTCGGTGGGTGTACAGTTGCCCGAAGAGAAATACAGGTTAACAACATTTGCCTCCCCCTTCTCTCTCCCCCCCCCTACCCCCCCCCCCCGTTCAGCTGTGATCTGGATCATCTTGAACGTTTTGATTAAGTTAAATTTCACCTGTAAGACAAAAGGAAAAATAAAGGCAAATGATGGAAGGAAAGACAAATATCCTCATCTCCGTATACCCGCCGTCACATATTATTTTGCATCCTTTAATTGATAATTAATTCAACGCATTAGGAGGCTTATTATGAATAAACAGACTTACATATTGACAGCTTGGATGCTCTCATAACTTTTTGTATTATAGTTATAAAAAGGCTTGAAATCAATGAGTTAAAACTACTGTATTAAATCAATATCGTGAAATATTGTTTTAATTCAGTGTATGCAGATTATGCTTCATAATAGTTGATTTTATGGCTACTAGCACTAGTATGTAATTATGGTAAGTTTTTCTGAAAGAACCACGGTCAGTCGAACAAATTCAGTCGGAATTTGGTCTACATTGACTCACTGGTCGTCTAAATAAAACTCATGAAAAAAAGAAATCAGACATGGGTGAAAATGTCATGGAATTCCTCGTAAAAACTAGAATTATATTTATTTCAAAGAGTTTTTTAGTATATTTTACTGTTCACACTGTGTGATTCTAGATCCTCCTGCACAATTCTAAGGATCACCCTAACGTCGTCACCCAAGGTTTCCAGGTTGCCCCCGGGGGCAGCGCTAATGTCGCCATAAAACAGAAATATGTGAGTATAAATGTGTGTGTGTGCGTGCGTGTGTGTGTTTATCAAATAGTATTGTAACGCACTAAGTATAATTTTCAATATATAATGCATTCATCAATCGCAATGAAAACAGTCACTCTGCATTTCTTGTTGTAATATGACGATCTGAGTAAAAATTCAACTTCGAAGGGCCTGCTTAGAATTTTCGGACAAATAGTTCTGTTTTATAATTCAGTGAATTATCTAAGCATGCGGTATTTGACGAATGGACCTTTCAAAACATACACGACAAGAACTGTTGAGTCTGCTTAATTTATTTTTTAGTATTTTTAAATTAACTATACATTTTCACATCACCGAGAGCAAGATGCCTTCTGGAACAGAGGTGGTAGTAACCATACACGTATTGCTTTCCAAAGGTCACATGTCACACTTTTTAAGAATACCATGTCTTGATGTATACCGGTTTTTAGGTTCCTTTCTTCTTCGTTTTATTTTATATCATTTTATTTTAATTATTGATTTACTTTTTTATAAAAGAAAAAAAAAAACGTTCTACAAAAACTTTATATGAATGAAATATGTAACACTACGCAGTATATATATATATTGTTTATCTATTAATATGTATTTTTTTTTCATAATTGCAGGTGAAAAATCTACCACAGCCCCACGGGCAATGTGCGGATAAGCAACTGGCTTATTTCCCACACTACAGTAAAATCAACTGTCAGGCAGAGTGCTTGTGAGTACTAGTAGAAGCAATACTTGTCCTTCTCACACAATTACATTGTAAAATTCGATTTTTTTTCACAAAACGCTGTTGTTTGCATACACTAGTTGTCAATTTGCCCCATTCAGGCGCATGTACTATATTGATACATCCCATATTCTTATTGTGCAACAGATGGCAAATGTGCCCCCACAAATCGCCTGTAGATAGACGGATAGACCACAAGTAAATTTAGCACCAGTGTGTGTTTCATTTAACATCGCTTCAGACCTAGAAACAGCTTTGACACCGGCAGTAGTATATGTATAATAGTAGATCAGGTTTATCAGTGTTTATATAGCTGCCCTTTGTCTCGAATAAACATATTCTAAGTCAAATCTATATCCTACTTTGTTGAAAAGTAAGAACCTTAAGCACGGGTAACTGTAAAATTAGCTACCGTATCACGGTTGCCTTTTCCATCTTTTGTCTAGATGTAGGATAGGGGCCTACACACTCTATCTCCAGTTCGTCTTTATTTCCATTATAGACACAACAAAACTATAGAGAAATGCGGCTGTCGATTGGTTTATTACCCTGAAGTACCTGGCCTTAGGGAATGCTCACCCATTGACGTCAACACGTGTTGGGGACCCCTTCTCACCAACGTCTCACAGATCATGAAGAACTGCGCATGCACGGAGGCTTGCGAGACGTTCTACTTCGAGTATTCTGTAACGACCGGGCTAGTCTCCGATGTGTCGGCTCAAGCCGCTGCTGTCTTCTTAAACACTACCCAGACCTATGTGGAAAAGAACTACTTGGCCGTGTACCTGTACTACAAAGAAATGAGCTACGAGGAAGTGATTCAACAGGAAGCGTACAGCACGCTCACTCTGCTGGCGGATATAGGGGGCGCTCTTGGCCTCATTCTGGGCAGCACGCTTATGACCGTAGCGGAGATACTGGATTTCTTTCTTGGGTTGAGCATTTGGAAATTTTTCGGCGTGAAATTGTGACAGTGTAATTCGTGTTCAATTTTGGTTACATTGGGATTTTTAAGCGAAAAGATGTGTCAGTCACGAGTGAATTCAGGACTTCACTAAAATACGGTGTAGGGGGCGTGATCGGCGGTAGGAGCAGTATACCTAATACTATCGTGGTAAAAAAGGTTGATTCCACTTTTTTTTTTTTTTTGTTACGAACGACCATACCACAGTTGTAAACCATTGTAAATAGTGATGTTCATTCCAGATGCGCTATCTATGACTCATGGCACAAACATTGCCAATTGAAAATATTCATGTTTTATGCCGTTTATTAAAATGTTGAGCATTCTATCTCTCAAATCGTGAAAATCTGATATTCCACACTGTTTTCCACAAGGTAAAAAAAACGTAATATTCAAACGGCTCAGCCATATTTCACAAATTTTACGAATCATAAGCATCAGTATGTGATGGTTAAAGGTCACGTGTCTTATGGCGAGCGCGTCTACCGCGTATTGCAATTATCTCCTGTAGGCGGCGAGGCAGCCTTCAAGGGCAGGGAAATCTGTTTTGGGGAAATGTTCCCATTCATAAAGAAATGCTTGTCGAAAATTGCCCAGGTAATATATTTAGAGGGTTGGATTTCCTATGCATTGCTAACTCCATTGCGTGACACAGGTGCTTGGTAGGGTTAAGTATCGAGGCTCAAAGAACGTCGTTCCGTCCTCGGACATTGTGTTTCTGCAATAAATTACTCACCGGGTGAGAACTGTGAGCAAATGTGTTCTCTTGATAAGCCTGAAATGAATGACCCCAGCTAGATAATTCTGTCTCATTTTACCGAACAGGTTTGCATTTTATTTGATTCTTCATCGGAAAAAAAGGAGCAACGAAACCCTTCTGTCAATAAAACAGCATAGAATAACTTATAATTATACGGTATACATGTTTGTATTGAAAACAGGCTCATGGTAGTCGACAATATTACGTTTTAATACTTGCGTCTTTCCGCTTGAAGCGTTATGAACTGTAAATGTCTTACAGGTCATCTGTAAAACGACGGATTTTTTTTAAATAGAAAAACGTGGAAAGTTTCCATGGAGCAAAACAATGGCCAAAAGCCATTTATCATTTAAACATGTGTCCTAATATGACAGGCGAACCAATAATTGCTGCATGCATATTGTAGTTATTATTATCCTTATTGTTACATTTCGTCAATCGTTTTGCTCTGTAATTGTTGGGGGTGATCAATAAGTATTCAACCGTGGAGGCATAATTTGTGCATTGCAAACACGCTGTGTCAACCTCCCGATTGTGTCAATGTCATATTCATTTTATCACTAGATGAAACGATTATACGTGTTTTCATTCGGTATAACTACTCTTCAACAAAAGGAGGGAAATAAAAGGAATTGTGCAATTTATTGGAAGAAAGAGGATTTGTCGTTACTTTAACAGAATGTGGATGTGTTCGGAACGCTGAGATCTAAACGCCCCTTGGTTCCTTTGACGTCCACGCCGTAGCCTACCTTGTTACACCCACTGAAACAAGATATAAAGGCAAATTAGGAACCATTAAGTATTCCAACGGTATCAAAATCTCGTTTTCTTTTGTTGAATTGCTTAAAACCTCCCGAACTTCAAATGTTACTCTGAAACAAGATGCCAAGAAGTAGAATCAGACATTTTTATACATTTGGAATTTACTTTTGACTGCTGTAAAAGTCTCAAACGTCGAATGACATTCCTAAGTAACACTAAAAAGGTACAGACACTTCACAGTATTTAATAGGTTTAAAATTCATTGATTTTCAACCAAAGACTCTCTAATTGATAGATTGAATTTTAAAGGGGGAAACGCTTGGTAAATAAATGATTATAAGACAAACGTTCATATCGTTTTACATATAATCGCTCTGCTGCTTAGAACGACTTAAAATTTTTTTGATACACAGTGCATTGATTTTTTCAATGTTACTCTGGATAGCACAAAAAACAATTCAATGACTATAAATATTCCCCTTCTTTCTCTCCAAGAGCACAAGGTCACCGTTTTCAAGTACTGTAAATATTTACTATTTCTCTCCCCCCCCACACCCAAAGGACGGAGACGCCGTTTTTAATCACTGTATATATGTCCTCTGTTTCTCCCTAAGAACACGGGGACAACGAGGAGCGTCTGTGCTACCTTCCTTTTCTAATAATAAATTGTCGGATATTTTCTTTTATTCCTTCATTTCTTTCTTTCTAATTGTTAAATTATGCGCTAAGGGAAATCACACGAGTGTTTAATGACACTTCTATGAAATCAGGCCATGGACGGACACATTAAGAAGTAATTGAGGGGTAGAGGGTCATCTCCAGAGGGATCGATTGTCTTTTTTTAAGAATTCGGAAAACCCACTGATATACAATAAAGACAGCAATCAAGATTCTCAGATTTCTTTTCACAAAAGGAAAATGGAAACAATAAATGGTTGAATGCTTTTTTGCAATGATTGTCGGCAGACGCAATCAGCGGGGGTACATGTATAGCTGTCTCACCTACACCATTCTCTGCCACGACATACATGCCAACCACTTTCTACATGTACATGTAGGTCTATAGTTATATATTAGTTAATTTAACATCTTCCCTGTATCTTTTAAGGACGTACATTGTAGAAAAGCCAAAAAGAGAAATTATTTGGGCATTGAAGGAGTAAAAGAACCGCCCTCTGCACTTAAATACAACAGATGTGATGACAAAATGATCAGATTCAAGACAGAGAAAAAGGATTGTGTTCACATTTAAATTAAATAATTACCTATTACGTAAAGAATATAACCATAGCATGTAACTCCCAATAGCATATAACAAAGGTGATCAAAATTCTAATTTGTTTGTATCATAACCAAATTATAATTAGAGCCATGATAAAGAAGATTAAGTTGATAATCATCGGAATGTTTTCATTAACTCTTATGATCATATATCTCCATCAACCCTTTATGGTACATACCCGGCTGCATTACAGGCTTTAAAGGCACACCCGCCGTTCACAGACTTCACATAAATATTAATGGCTTTCATATGGGCTGTAACTTGGTTCGCTTCAATGGCTCCATTATTGATGTAAAAATCAATGTCGCCTGGTAATACAAACGCAATGCAGGGATTTAACTCGTTTAGTAATCAAAATTTCAAATGGAGAAACTAACAGACGGCAAGCGGGCAGAGACGTAGATTTAAAAAAGGATGCAATATATTCAATTACGGACTTGGCAGATCTTGATTTAATGCTAATTTTCGTGTTGGATCAACAGTAGAGATATAAAGTGTTTTTTTCCAGAAAAAAAATACTACTATGATCGCTGGTCACAAGCATGTAATGTACGGCGGATCTCTTACCCGCAGCAAGAGCAGCGACAGAACTGGTATGTATCACTTGCACCAAGTCTGCGGCTCCTGTATATATGCCAGCGACAGGGTCCAGTGCTAATAAAAACAAAATCCAATTCAGATTTTTCTACAATTTGAACATTGAGATCTCTCTCTCTCTCATGCATATTTTCGCCTGTATTTACGTTCGGAAAAGGGCGCTCATGTGCTGAAAAGAATTGTAATTAAGAGAAAAAAAGACTCGATATACACTTAATGGTTTGCTAAGATATCTGACCAAATCATGTATCATGTTAACTTTTTTCCATATCCAGGATATCAAAGACTTGTGACAAGATAACTTCTTGTTGTATTTCCATCGTGCTATATACAGGTAGGCTAACCCACCTACAAGCTGCCCAACTTTGATGTTGCCCACATTAATAAGTCCCAAACCGGCGACCTTCATGACATTGGCCCCAAGAGAGTGGCCAATCAGAGTGATACGTTTTGGACTTTGACCCATGGTTGTCATGGTACCCACGAGCCAGCCGACGTCACCGCCCACTGCGTTTGATGACGCAGCCGCAGCGAGCAGATTCGGCGTCTTGGCTCCCGATGCCCAGTCCACCACTATCACATTGGCGTTTTCCTATACAGAAAAATCCAAATATCTTAGATACAGTACATCTAAATAAATAGTGCACTTGTTTACTGTACATGTGTTTATATGCATAAGGAGACTAACACACACAAGGCAGACGGAAGGGTGGACAGACAGGCAGACAGTCAGACACAGGCAGACAGACAGCAGACAGTCAGACACAGGCAGACAGACAGGCAGACAGTGAGACACAGGCAGACAGACAGGCAGACAAGCAGACAGACAGAATGACCGTTAGACAGAAAGTCAATCAGGTAAACATGCATTAAAACATGAACAAAATAATTGCACGCCACACAGAACAGCCAAAAATACGCACTCTTTTTCAACAGAGCCTGCACCATGGGAGCAGTGAATCTTTCCCGACCAGAACCCTGCCATCCGTGGGAGAAGATGTAGGTATTCTTAGAGGTGTCAAACCCTGCCTTAGTGAACGTCGAGGCGTCCACGGTCACACACGCTCCATCGGTGTTTTTCCTAAAACGATTTGATGACATAAAGGCGTGCTTCAATATAATTCTACAACCTAGAAATGTTCAATTCAGTTAAGGGTTGCATATATTCATGCTTAATTCTCAAAATATTATTTTTTCCAATGTGATAAAGTATATCCTTATGATCAGAAATGCAGTAAATGATAGCAATATGAAATGTAAGATGTAGATATGAACGTCTCATAAATTTAAAAATGGATAGGGACAATTTTGAAAAAGAAAATAGAAGGATGCTACTCCTGGTACTTAACAACACTTTTCTTCATAATCAATAATCAGGGAAACTGAGACCAATCACCTTGTGTATAATCTGAAGTTGGAACTTTTCCCCCAGGCTTGCAGGCATCCTTGGTCCCTCCTGAACAAATGCTGTGTTAAACTGTTGCGGAACGAAGCTTAAGTAAAGGAAAACAGGCGGTGTAGACGCGCGAATAAACTTTGGTTCGCTTTATCATATGAGCGCCATTTAAGTATTTATGTGAATTCGAGGAATTGAAATATACACCGATGGACATGCAACTGGTGAACTATTCAAAAGCTGGCGAAAACTTACAGATCAAATATGTTACAATACTTCAAGAACATATAAACAAATGTGCACTGTAGTCGCTGTATATCGTCTAATTGTGAAAAATGCTCGTTAGATTATTTTATCAAAAGTTCTTTCCAATTACACTAAAAGTGGTTTAATCTTCTTCATCTTGACATTTAGAAAATATTAAAGCAAGCTGAGTCAGAAAAACCTAATGCCGGATACTTTTAATCCGACTTTTTAAGATAAAAATATTTAGCAAGAATAACATGTATAAATAACAGATGACTAATGATGATATTTGAATTCGAGAAACAAATTTCAAAAAAGTCATAAGATAAATTGAATATCTTAATATTACCACTTGCTCCTAAAGCAAGGCAGCACATAAACACGAACACGACACGGAGACCCATGTTGCAAATAGAGTTTAGCTTGAACCGTCCACAGGAGCTGCCTTTATATGCATGCATCCTGTCACTTCAGGGCAAGGGGTAGTAAAGAAGGGTGCATCGCCTACAAAAAGAACCCGTTGAAAATTAGACTAATGATTTGAACACGTTATTCTTTCTTACAATAAAAAACTATTTGACTTATTTTCACATACTGTGTTTTCCTGTTACCTTCACCATAAAAGTTAATTATTATCATTTTCCACTTTTGCGGATGGCGTTAACAGCTGAATTTTATGATATAATTGCTAATGAAATTAAAAGAAGAGAAGTTATTTTCCCTTCTCTATCCTCGAGACGCACGTTAACTACACGTGTCCGTTCTCATGATTTTATATATAACACAGTTGGAGCAGCTGGATATATTTTGGGAAGCCCGTTAATCTTCAACAGCTGTGCCTTTGCACCATATCATGACCCTATTTTGTTGACACATAGGTATTGTTTTAATACGACAATGCTGTTGTTGCTGTTGTTCTTATTGTTATTATCACTGTTGTTGTTGTTGTTTTTATTATTATCATCGATCGTCCACGTATCATTGCATTCCGACTGAAGTACGTACTGTCCACCCTCTTTGCAACAGTGCCATTGAGGTCATGTACACAGGTGGCCTCAAAGTTGACCTTTCAGATAATGCCAGGATCAACTTCGTGTGTTGGGTACCTGTGTTCTCGGTTCAGAGAGACATGCTGACCGGCGTCATGCACGAGAGAGCTCCCTGACATCCAGGGACCGGCGTGACAGGAATGGGGGTCCTAGGAATAAGTCCGGGGTCACATATAAATAGTACAGGTTAGGGTTAGTCGGAGGTTTGGGATTAGTATATGGGACGAATGCCAACTGTGCAAAGTAATGGGGAAGGGGCTACGGTTCCTAGCGGACCGCCATTCCTGTCACACCGGTCCCCATTGATTTGTGGAGATAATTAAATTTTAATTTCCCTGTCCTAGATTTTGACCCTTTAATTCACGCTGTACCATAACCTTGTATAAAGCCATGGAAAGGAAGGGCGCACTTTCTGTATATACTTGTATATGAATCAGTCAATTTAGTTTTTTGTCTTTCTTTTCTTTTTATGTCCAAATTGATTCTTTGTTATTGAAACCACAAAAGCTCCAACCAGTAATGCATCAAAGCTAATTGTGTCTTAAGCAAAACGGCGTTATAAATTTACCTTTCTGACCAGCTGATATACCTTCTAAATAATGCACATCTTTAAACATTACAATAGAAACTAATCAATTAATTACATTAATAAATAACTTTATATGCACGGGGTCCTTACCCCTTCACTAAAGTAAAATGCCATCTATTTGTCACGTTTTGAATAAAAAGAAAACCTTTCACCCGAAAACTTCAAAGACATGCCAACGAACCGCACAATATAAATGTCCAACAATTGCAGTACAGTGTACAGGTAGTTCATATATACACCATTTCTTGGAGATATTTGCTGTATTTATTCGAGGCTAAATCTGTCACTAAGATGTTACATGTGCAACATGTACTGGTCATTGATATACATGATTTATTTCGGCTGAAAAAAATCTTAAGTTTCCCCCCCAAATGAAGTCGCTGACGCAAAATAATGACTAACTTTTCATCTCGTAAGTGGAGTTTGCAAACTCATGATTGTGATAGTTTACTTAAGAAATATTTTAAAGCTAATTTGTGTTTGATTGTGAAGAAGGCCATTAAGTAAACATGCGTGACAAGTAATGGCTATGAAAGTGCTATTAGATGGTTATATGAATAAGTAACACAGCCAACGTTGACTTTCAGTTAAGTGAGTTGTCTTAAGATAAACAACGTTTGCATGCAGCACGATAAGGACACATACACATTGAATGCGATTGTCTCTAGTAAAATAACACGTGCTTAATAAGCTTAGAAGGACGATAAACATGAGGTTTCTAGACATTGGAATGCTTCTTGCAATTGGTGCTTGTTATATAAGTTCTGCATCTTTGTCTGACGTCCAGTTTGCACAGGTGAGTAGCATGTGCTGCCTCTCTTTCCCTCTCCCTTTCTCTCTCCTTCTTTATCTCTCTCTACCACTCTTTAAATCTGACTGTCTCGCGTCTTCGCCCATACCTCACCCTAAAGACAATCAACCTATTTGAAAAACGACCGTTCGGTTTTTCCAGGACTTTTTGGTAAAACATGGGTATCTAAGCTCTTCCAAACTTGCGACTGCGTCCGAGTTCCGCGAAGCATTGCAAGACTTCCAGAAGCGCATGAACATTGCCATTTCTGGTGAAGCAGACGATAAAACGTTGGAAGTAATGCGCATGCCTCGTTGTAGCGCCCCTGACCGTTCTCCCATCAATGGCGATGACGAGTTTTCCTTTAACCTTGCCTCAGGTTCGAAATCTCTTATATATATTATTATCATATGTTTAAAGATGTGTTGTAATGCATTTGACCAAGACCAAATTTTCCCAATGTCAAAAATGTGAATAAATGTTGTTTTTACTTTTTCTCATTTTGTCAGGTTGAGAATACACCAAAGCTGAAAATGACATAAGGAAATAACCATTTCAGAACACTCTTTGACTATATTTCTAAAATCGTTGTAAAATGACAAGCAGAAACATAGACACAGATGCAGCTAATGCGCATGCGTGCAGGTGAATTCCTATGTGCTTTTACATGACCCAGTGCACATTTGAACACTTTTATTATTATTATCATTATTATTATTATTATTATTATTATTATTATTAATATGCAAGGCATAAGTGAACGATGGTACAAGTGGAAGCTCACCTGGTCTATAGGCCCATACACCAAGGATATGAGCAGAAAACAACAAGAGCAGATGGTCGGTAGGGCGTACAAGGTAATATTAATGAATCCTCTCCATCCGGTCATTGATAATAGAGTCCTATGTGTTTGTAACCACCTAGCCTGGCTTATAGAAAAATCCCACTTTTTAAGTACTCTTTTCACTAGTTATAAATTGCATTCATTAACTTCACCAAAATCATTAACTTGTTGTCACTACTATAAACAGCTAGTCAGGTGAACACTTTTGTTATTAATTTATTAAATATTTACATTTTTATATTTTACTTGTTCACCTATTTTATTTATTAACTTATTATTATTATCCTTGCACATTTGTGACAAAAGTCAGGGATCATGTTATCCAGCCCATTTGTGCGTCCGTGCGCTTGTGCTTCGATGCGTTACTAATCTTTGCTATCCTCAAAGGCCATCCACTGCGAAAATTTTAAGTTTTGCTTTCTTCTTGCAGACCATCAGAGTGATGAAGTTCAAAATCTGGGGATTGACCAATCATCAGCATTGTGGATGGGCCATGCAGTCAGTCATTTATTTATTTTACATTAAGCGATATCATTCATGCTGTTCCTATGAAGATCACTTGCGGTTATATAACATACTGAGCCCTGGCATTGTCATAAATATCGAAGGATTGAGGTCCATGAAATGAGCTACTCCTTACAGTGTGAGGATATGAAGTGGCCACCCACTGTCACCATCTAGTTATTATTATTATTATTATTATTATTATTATTATTATTATTATTTCCAGGCCTGGTCAGATATAAGTCGTTTACAAATTTCAAAGGCACCACAAGGAAGTCAAGGTGACCTGAAAGTCAAGTTTGTCACCGGAAACCATGGCGATCTGTTTCCCTTTGATAAATCTTCTTTTGCGCACGCCTTTTGGCCGGGGTTATTCCCAGGTATAATTTTCATTTTTCCAGTCTGAACTGCACTGTATATTTTAACACATGTTTTGTATACGTTTTTAAAGAATCACGTTAGGTAGCACTTGTTATACTCACAAACCGGTTTTGATTTCATCCTATTTGGTCTGCACTGACGTCACAAGATGCCCTTGGTGCCCTCAGTGTTGGTGAAATTGTGTTTCTTCCTCCTAACTGTTGCATATTAGTTTGTGACAAAAAGAACACGTGTTTCACGTGTTTCCTTATTAGCATAACCAAACTCATGAATCTTTATCAAAATGATCAACTAATACAGTTTTGGTTTAAAACCATTTTTGATGTTATAAAATAATATGTTTATTATTATAATTTTATCGCCTATATATCTTTTAAAACGATTTTGTATTTCTTTACATTTTACTCTATTTTAAAATAAGATTGCACACCTCTTTACAAATAGTCCTTCAAAATTTAGAGGCATTTATATAATTTCATGTTGTAAAATTTTGAGTAGGCACTAATTTTAATGGAGAAGTTCACATGAACGATGCTCTGAAATGGCGTGATGCCGCTAAAGATCCCAAAAGTGAGTATCTATTTTTTTTTCTTATGCATAATTTCAGTACATGTAGTGTGTCAAAATTATAAAAAAAAAAAAAAAAAACAGATTAACATTTGATTCCAGCTGGTTTATGACGTCATTTCTCTGTAACATTCTTAATGGTCAGCACAAAAATGTGCACAGAAACACTCAGTATGAAACTTTAAATACATCTATTAAAAACTGTATGAGGTCTAGACCGGTAGAGGGCAGTACTTCCTTTAATCTCCTCTGAACAGCTCTTCTATTCAAAGCTGGTTGGGACGGGTACCCTGTGTTGCTCCACGAGATTGGTCACGCCCTGGGGATTTGGCATTCCGAGGATCCCTCCGCCGTCATGTGGCCCTTGACCTACCACCAGGGACCACTGAAACCTCAGGCAGATGATATTGCCGCCATGCAGACCATATATGGTAAGTCACTGAAACCTCAGAAAGACGATATCCTCGCCTTGCAGACCACTCAATGAAACCTCAGACAGACGATATCGACGCCATGCAGACTATAAATGGGCGCAATTAGAGTAATTGTCACAGCTTGGCGGTATTTTCAATACTTTTCCTGAATTAGGTCTCAACTACCGAGAGAAAATGTCGACTTTACATAGCCCAATCATGGTTTGAATAGGTCAAGTACCTAAAACTAATGAAACAACAGGGAAATGTGCACTGCAAATTGCATATCATACTCCAGATCATACGAGCATGCATAAATACTAACAACCCGTAAGGTAATAAAATAAGTTTCCAAAAGAACATCGGATCTGATAAATTATCAATTGATATGACGTGCAAGTATTCTAAAACGCAAGGCACAATCTGTATCACGATCACTTTCTAGGATCACCCAGTGCAGCCGACGTATGCAAGGGACCAGCTGTTTGGCCGTGTGACTCCTACCATGAGATACGGTACGGAGTTGTTCACAGATATTGCAAAGGTAAGGTTCTAAATACATGCGTACACACCCACACATACACACACATAGGTTTACGGGCACGGAACACAAACACACAGAGAGAAGGAGAGAGAGAGAGGGGGGGGGGAAGAGATGGAGAGAGAGGTAACCTTTGTTAGTAAAACAACACGCATTAAGAGAACGTCGGAGACACAGAAATGCCTTACTGCATTATGTTTTCATAAGACACACACTCACACACATACGCACACTCACACACAAACACACACACCCGCGGATTAATAAAATACTGACCATAATTTGACCCCTTTGCTATTCAAATACCACAACATCAATTTAATAAGTATGGAAAACACGTTTGTTTAGGTTTACATGTTGTGCGTGACTTCTGTTGCAGGCCTAATTTAAACTAAAAACAACAACAACAACAAAAAAAAAAAAAAAAAAAAAAAAAAAAAAAAAAAAAAAAAAAAAAAAAAAAAAAAAAAAAAAAAACAGTATACTGCTCTGCTCTGTACAAAATTGCTATCTATTTGATATGTAAACTTAGTACAATTTTTGGAATGGATTAAGTGACAGTTAAATTGTTGATTCTTAAAAGAATAAAACCTATAAACTGGGAGACCGAATGCTTATCAAAAAATATCAAATTACTGTAATAATAATAATAATAATAATAAAGGAAGGTTGTGTTTCAAGCGCCGGCGCCGCTGAACGAAGCAAACAACTGTGGATGTGAACGACAGTGTGAGATTCTGGAGGAGAACGCAGGTCCACTGAACCGCTTCTGCCGCTGTGAGCAAGTTTTGAAAACAAATGACGCGGTAAAAGGCAAGTTTTTCACTATAGTACTCTATGAATCTAGCAGAAGATCTGTAGAAGTTGGTAGATTCATATGAGAGAACGTTCATCCGGTTGTCACAAAATAAATAAATGCACATGAAATAATGTGCAAAAATATTGTGCGTATCTCTTCCATTTCATGATTCATTTAAGAAATCAGTGACAGACACGTGCTTTGAGCATCGCTTGCATTTCTGGGGGGGGGGGGGGGAGTCGAGGCAGAAATTCAACATGACTTTGATTTGCCGCGAGTGGAGAAAAAACTATTTTCAGTGTCAATTTGTCAGTAGATCAATTCATGACCCAGAGAGTAAGCCGGGTTGTATTAAAGACTGATATTTTCAGAGAGGTGCACGGCCAGCATTCAGAAGTTTGCTTGCAGAAACGGCAAATGTATCCCACGTTCAAACGTGTGTAACAAAATCAACAACTGTGGAGACAGGTCGGACGAGGCGGATTGCGTGAGCACAGGTGAGACGGTGAACACAGGTAAAGACAGTGGGCACAAGTAAGGCGGTGAGCACAGGTGAGACAGTGAGCACAGGGGCGACGGTGAGCACAATTAAGTCCATGTGCACCGGTAAGAACGTGAACACAGGCAAGCCAATGAGAACAGGTAGATGATGGTTGGACAAAAATCAATTTAATTTAGATGGCATTTTTACAATACTGAATATAAGTAACATGCTAATGCATTTTTTGTGGGGGATGCACTTTTTAAAGCTGTGACAATGTGGGAATAGTCACCACCCCCTTCACAGTGTGACTATAAAAAATTTACCACCTGGATAGCCTATTACAAGTAGGAATGTATCGTCAATTGTAATAACTGGCCGTCCTTTCTGCACTTCAGCTCCGTGTGGTGCCACTCAGTTCCGCTGCAGCAATGGGCGGTGTATACCGTCCGCCCTGGTGTGTGACGGCGCCTACCACTGTGCAGACAAGTCAGATGAACGCGTGTGCCGTCTTCATTCAGGTTTGTTATTTGATAACTTGATTGGACGGATAGAGCGCCCTTATTTGTATCAAGTTTATGGTTCTTATGGTCATAGGCTGACGGTGAAAGGGGGGGGGGCGCTTAGGAGGATATTTGATAAATATTATTCATTTGAAACTTAATAAAGTTGTAAATTTTTTACCAAGCATATATACAAAAATGATCTTATTTCGATTGTGAACATTAACATTTCATATTAATGAAAACATAAGCGAAGCATATGTATATATATTTTTTTTTCTTTATTGAAAGGCATCTCTTTCAATTAATTTTAAATTTCAATAAACCATATTGCATTCCTTTGTACTAATAACAGACTATTCAGAAACCTCTTCTACATTTATCATGAGCCATATGTTTTAGAAATAGAGTCTGCACGGGGACATTTTGGGAGGTCTTAATGTAAAACTATCTTATATTCTTCAAAATTCATCACTAAATGCCTTAGGACGCTGCGGAATGCCTGGTTACACACTCTGCACTGACGACACCTTGCGGTGTATTCCAAACCGCTGGGTATGTGACGGCGTGCCTTTTTGTCTTGACAAGTCTGATGAAAGAAACTGTCCGTCAAGTAGGTGGTGCATTAATAAGCTAATTTATTAATTATTTAGATAAATAAATAATTTATTTATATATTTATTTGTTTGTTTGATTGTATGACTATTTCTTTACTTATCTATTTATTTGATGATTTTTGTCCCGATGGTGCTATCCTTTTATCTTAGAACCTGGATTAAGCGTATTTAGTAAGCTTTCCAGTGGACAAAAAGAAAACAACATCTAGTTTTTAGCTGCAAAAGGCCTATTGCAATACGATACACGTTCATATTATTTTTTTCGCTATGAACTCAAAACGTATTTGCTCAAAAATACACACTTTCCTAGACAGGGGATCTTCATTTATAACTGTCAGAATATCATTCCTGTGAGGTTCAAAGACGCTTATACCATGCCATTTGTTTTTGTAGTTATGGATAAAGCAGGTGTATTTGTCTCTAATTTAAATAGTCTTTGTGATTCAATAAAACGGCACACCAAAGAAAAAAGACGCAGTGCCATTTCTAATGAAAATAGTTATTTCACAATGCGACCATGGCTGCTAACTGTACCTAGCCATGGCTGAAAGCTGTCAGGCTGGTTATTCAACATACATGTAGAGACCAAAGTCCCGCCAATTCTTCACACAAATTACCATGTCCCAATGACACAATTACATTTAGATATGTGCGTTTATTATGAACCAATCGTTCGACAAACCCTCTCTAAAATTCCAATTGACAAATGAATTAAGGTATTTGCGGTTTAAGTCCCAGTCTATGTATAATATGAGAGTGGTGTTAAATTTCCTTAAACTTTAGGGTCAGACGGCGGTTGGTCAAACTGGTTTGTGGTTACTGCATGTCCAGATAAACCACGTTGTGGAGACACAATAATATTGCGTAGAAGGTAAGAAGATGTTTTTATAAAGCTTGTCATTCAGTTAAGCTTGTATTATTATTATTATTATTATTATTATTTGTATTAGAAATGGTAATTGTCGCCATTATAAACTTCTCTGATTATGACGGGAGTGAACGAACCATACCACACAATTATTAAATGAAACCAGGAACGCCTACCAGGTCAATAATACTATCAACTATAGCATCAATTGCGTGACATCAATAGCGTGACATTAATAAGTAACTCTTACAGACTGAAGAAATGGAAATGAATGAAATAATTATTATATTCAAGGTGCAATAATCCTGCTCCATCTCCAGGAAAGCTCCCTTGTCTTGGTGCTACTTACAGAGAAGAACCATGCTTAAGAAGCTGCGGGAGAACCAGGGCACAGTTAGGTAAGCTGAATTTTTTTTACCACGATAATTACTATTTTCTGATATTGAATTTGGTTTGCAGCGTTTTATCCGACCTTCACAAGTATTAAGAGTTAAGAAACACAAATTTGCAGTTGTTTTATGAATATGTGAAACACATGCAAACGCCTCAAATAAAGGTCCTTTCAGTTGCCATCTGGAGCTCTTGGGCACCTTATAGCTGTTACAAAGGCGTCAACGGTTCAGAGGGATGTGGGCAGTACGGGCTAGAGGTGGCGACACGGTCTTGTAGACTTCGTGGAAAACGTGTCTCAGAAGAGCAGTGCGGTGGTGGAATTGGTGCAAAAACGTCACTTGGGAAGTGCATGAAAACATGCATCAACTGTAAGTAACATGTACATGTACCGAGGGAAACAGAAGGCTATCTTAGTCTATTGCTTTTGACTAATAATACTTGAAATTGGGGTAATAATGTGAAAAAAAGGGGCAGAAGAAACATTTGCAAACTCTGTCAGTGGTCGACAGCGTATCATTTGTACTCGTATATTAATATTTCTTCATTTCTTAACATGTCATTTCCAAAAAGCTATAAACTAGCATTATTTTTAAATATGATATGTAATGGCAGTATGTGTTTATTTATTTATGTATGATTTGTACTCGTATATTAATATTTCTTCATTTCTTAATATGTCATTTTCAAAAAGTTAAAAACTAGCATTATTTTTAATATAATATGTAATGGCGCTATGTATTTATTTATTTATGTATGATTGTGCTCTTAATCTACGGTTTCATCTTTCATGTTGAATAAGATGAGAAGTTTAAGAAGAGATACCCATGGTTAGGGGGAGGCTGTTATCTACAATGTAACAATGGGGGCACCTGTGTCTTTAACGACGATGATGAACCAATTTGTAGGTATGTAAGTCAGTTCATCAAACGCAATGCAGAAGCTAGAACACAAATATATATAATAAAAAGAAAAAAAAAAAATATATATATATATATATATATATATATATATATATATATATATATATATATATATATATATATATGGATTCAGTATATATACAAGCCGCTTAATTGTTTTTTTTTTTTTCTAAATAGTATCTTTCTAATTTTGGGTGATATCTCTCAGCACTTATATAAACCTATTCATCACCTTATTTTATATTTGCTGCAGCTGTAGAAGTGGTTTCAGTGGAGAACAGTGCATGACACGGCTGACCAATGAATGCCGTAAAAATTGTGGCAATGGTGGCACGTGCGTGATGACCTTGATTGACGACTACTGCGAATGCCCGGATGGGTACAGCGGAAAACTTTGTGAAAAAAGAATAAAGCCAGGAATTCGTACTTGAAATTTTCCAAGATAATGTTTGGTTCTTATGAATTATTTATGTCGGTATTGTCAAAATGTGTGCTGGTGGTTGAATGAGTAGTGACTCAGGTTTAAAGCCGCTTTTTATCACTCACCAATGCAGGGCTTTGTTGAAAATCGTCTACGGACCTACCCGTACTTGTAACTTGGTTCAGATCGGCAGCCCACTGAACTTGTAGAAAATAATATTTTTCTTATTTGATATCTGAATTGTTCCTTATTTTTATTATTATTGTTATTATTATGCACGTTTAAGTTTATATTCATATCAAGATTATTTTAGCGATGTGTGTTTGCTACAAAGTAGAAATTTAAAAGAATTGAGATAAATTTCTATAAAAATGAAATGTGTTTGAAAAACTTATTTTCAGTGTTTTTCTGCTTAGTTTTTAATCACGAAGCATTAAATAGATTTTAAACAACCAGAAATACTACTGTAATAAATATTTCTAATCGAGGCATTTGACAAATAATGAAAAAAAAATATATATATATATATATATATAATGCAGGAAACATGGAATGATCTACAACATTTGTGAAAGAAACATTGGTATTTCAACTATTTTTTTTTTTTTTTTGGAATACGTGTCGATGCGTATTAAGCATTCAAATGACAACAACGTTAACATTGGTTTAAAGCTTTGACGATGCAGTAAATACAGCGTATTTACTACAATCTTTATTATGACCACTTATTGTTGAACTCAAAATTCACAAAAAGTCCAAATATTGCAGCTTTACATTTAGCTGAGTGACTAGTTTCCTGTTTTCTTTAATATGTCCAACTGGTCATGTTTCCTCTCGACGGGAGGCTATTCTGAAAACAAAAAAATATTGTAAATATGAACTGTAAAATATTAAATCGTTCCATTAAACTGATCATTTAGAATACGGATTCATTTTATTTTTAATTTGCCTGTACGGATGCACATTCTGAAGGTTGTATTAGACTATGTCACAAAAGAATCGGGGTATCGACAGTCGGATATAACAATCGGAGTATGTAACATACGCACGCACAGGCTGGTTATCTCGTTCCCCTCTCACCTCACTTTCCTTCCCAACCTCTCTCTCTCTCTCTCTCTCTCTCTCTCTCTCTCTCTCTTTTAACACACAAACACACACGCACTCACACTCACGAACACCATGGCCATCTCTCTCTCTCTCTCTCTCTAAAATGATTTTAAAAGTTCATCTCGTTATTTCTTTCGGTCTTTAAACTGATACCTTTGAGCAATCTGTATTTGTAAGTTTAAATAATTATCTGTGGTGCTGGTATCCCTTGTGTTTATGAGCCATTAATTCACTCTCACAATTTCTCACAACAATATCACCCAATTGCTTTGTGGAATTTACTCCTCGGTTTAGCAGTCTCAGCTTAGCACAATAATGAAAATCTCTATGTAAAACAGGTAGCTAGTAGAATATGTATTAGTGAAAATACTGCCATGAACAATGTGATCACTGAACCTTTTATTTTGGGTGATCGTCTGCACCACAGCGGCAGTTGGGGTACGTTCCGACGCAGTAGCAACTCCCATGGTCGCTACTACAAGTCTGACCACAGCATTCGCACGTAGCAAGCTTCGCAATTTGCCCGGCTGTGTCTACATAAAAATAAAAATACAAAGATAAACATGTTTCCTAAAGTCCATGGTGGATATTTATTTTGTGAGAAAGTTCTACATTCAAATATTAGTGAAGTAAAGAAGCACAGTGAGAGTAAAATTTATGTTCTTTCCAATGTCACTTAAAAACGATGCCAGTTATTCCCGGCATGATCGATGCCCTTTCCGAATACATGTTTTTGGTCAAGATTCTTTATCATTCTTTACTGCCGTGTGTACAGAGGGTGGGGTTGACAAAAGTATTGAACTTTTTTGCTTGAAGGTGAAAAATGGCTGGGTTTTATTTGTCAGGTTTTTCAATTAGTATTTTTTGAAAACCGGTTAGTTACTTCACTATAACATAAGAGACCAATGCGTTGCCCTTACATAACACTTGTTATTATGGAAGCATCACTCGTATCACTCACCTTCTATGGCAACCGTGGCAAAGAGCACCAAAAGCACAAGAACGGCGCACGACTTCATTTTTCTCCAATGAAGCAGTCCTAGCAAAAGACTAAACTCTCTTGAAAAATCTTCTCTAGTAAGAGGCTTGCTATCTTACGCGACCCAAGCCGCTATTTATACGTTTCTGTGCAAACAAATGTCAATCAATCTTCAGCAAGGAAACATACAAAATAGGATCGCCATGAAATATGGTCTCAGTAAGATATTTTCTGTTTCAAAAATTTCCTGAATCATAAATACTGTTATGCAATGAAACCATTATCATTTGTCATAGCGTCTTCCAACAACACACGCGCTCTCACTTTTTCTTTTTTCTCTTTTTTAGTTAAATAACTTTGTAATCATGGTGCTGTTTTCATTGATAAAAATAACCATTTCAATACAGACAAATAACACCTTCAATTTCCATCGTCATTTTAAGATTCTAAAGCATTTACTCGTTTGCTGAACCCCATCTTACTCTGTTTAGAATCTTATTCTGTTGTATCTAACTGAACGAACAAATTTAAAATTTTCAAGAACATCTGTTAATTAATTATTTTTTAAAAAAAAATTAGCTCCTGCGGATGCGCGAGTAAGATTAACCTTCGGGCGAAACATTATTTGTTCAACATTTGAAAAATTCCTTTAAAATATCTTGCACTAATGTAAATGAAATGCATGTCAGAGTTAAGACGTTGTTTATTATTATTATTATTATTATTATTATTATTATTANATTCTAAAGCATTTACTCGTTTGCTGAACCCCATCTTACTCTGTTTAGAATCTTATTCTGTTGTATCTAACTGAACGAACAAATTAAAAATTTTCAAGAACATCTGTTAATTAATTATTTTTTTAAAAAAATTAGCTACTGCGGATGCGCGAGTAAGATTAACCTTCGGGAGAAACATTATTTGTTCAACATTTGAAAAATTCCTTTAAAATATCTTGCACTAATGCAAATGAAATGCATGTCAGAGTTAAGACGTTGTTTATTATCATTATTATTATTATTATTATTATTAATTTTTTATTATATTTTATATATTACTGATTTTTAGTATTCTTAATCAATATGTTTCATTTTTTACGAGAAGCTGACACCTATACCTCAATGCCTCATTAAGAAAAAAAATTAGACGACTTCTCATGTTTCCTTTTGTTTTTCCTATTATATTTCATCCCCAGCACTTCATAACAAAAATCAGACCCAGTCGTTGTGTTTGTCTTTTACAGAAATCTAGAAGATTCACTGCTTTTGAATATTGGGGAAATGCACATGACGTTGTATTTGATACACACCAAACATCTCTACAAAACACATGCATTAGTCCTATCGCTAATTTTCTGACTGATGATATATATGCCACCCGCACGAAAATGCATTAGTATCGAAGTAGCAAAGAAGGATTAACGCAGTAGTGGTGTGGAGCATATTTGCAGTAGAAATGCAGTATAGCCTACTGCAATTCTACTCCAAAAAGTACATAGGTTTGTACAGAGAGGAGCATTATTGCAGTAGATTAGCAGCATGATAGAAGCATGTTTCAAATATGCTAATTAGCTCCCAAATCGAAGCAGATTTGAGGCATGTTTGCAGTATGATTGCAGTAGTCTACTGCGCTGGAGTATCTACTGCGTTTTCTTGCGGGCAATATCTTCAAATTATATGTAATTCACTGGAGTTTTCATTTTGAACTATGTACGTATTTATGTATGTAATGGTTTTCTACTCTCTTAAAGATCGGATTTAAACAGTTAATTTTTTCTTTCAAATAGTAGTTGGCAATGATGTATTATAAGGATATAATTCAGATTACGATGAAATATGGTCCCAGCAAGTCATTTTGATTTCAAACATTTCCTTAATCATTTATATACAGCGTTACGCAATTAAATCATCATCATTTGTCAAATCAACCTCTTGAAATAAA